GATTATGTGTGGTCATATGCCTACAAAGTTGCGTGGTGATGGGTGAAACCCTTGAGATGTTATACACCTTTATGTGATGAGCCACGCCCTCCGCAATATTCATTGCCTTATAGAAGCTCAGTTTTAGTAAGTTTTCCAACTTCTGCCAAGAGGGAACTTTAGATATTGGTCCCTAGATTATGTTCACCCAGTTTCATGCAGATGGGTCAAACTTCCTAGGAAGAGATCGATTTGAAGTGTTTTTCAAAAAAATTCAAAATGGCGGAAAATCTATATAACTGGAAGTTATGGGTTCTTGAGGCAAATTTGTTCCTCATGAGGAGAGGCATCTCTGTGCAAAGTTTCATGTCTCTACAACATACTGGGCATGAGATATGACCATTCAAAGTTTGCAATTTCAGTCGGTTGCTATAGCGCCCCCCTTTGGCCAATTGATGTAATATTGCTTCATTGGCATCCTCCCATGACCCTCCACCACTGTGCAAAATTTCACATGGATTGACCAAGTCAGTGAGGAGAAAAACATGGAACAGACACACAGACACACCCACACCCACACACACACACACACACACAGAGCTTTCATCATTATATAATAAGATATAGTTCTGCTGGGAATCTTTCAGGTATTCATGTGGATTTACATACTCCACTGACCCAAACAGTGGTGCAGACCATGTAACCCCCTCATGGCAGTAGCACTCCCAAATGGCAGCCCCCAGCAGGACAGCACATCCGTGGGACATTCTGGTACCCCACCTTACAACCCACAGGACTCAAACGATCCACTGTCAACGCCCTGGTGCCAGAAACCCCCACGGATGCTAAGTCAGATTGGGATCTGGGGAATTTTAGGCCAAGTAGATGACCTGAGCTCTTTGTCATGTTCCTCTGACCAGTTTTTGCAGTGTGGCATGATGTGTTGTCCTGTTGAGAAGCTGCTGCCATCGTGTAGTGCTGTTGCCATGCAATGATGTTTGAGAGCATTGTGTGTGGCATCCACATGAATGCCAGGACCAAAGGTTTCCCAACAGAACATTACATTGTAATCCGATGATTAATGTTACTTACTTCACCTGCAAGTGGTTTTAATGTTTTGGCTGATTGGTGTATATAACAGATCTTCATTTTTCTGCTTTTTTTTTAACTTTAACTTTGAAACTAAGAGTTGCTTGAATTCTAATGTAATACATGTCTTACCCACAAGATGGCAGTACATCCATGCTACATCATATACATGCTGCATGTGGTGGAGTAGTTGAAATTCATGTGGGAATAATCTCTCACAGATGCACATGACATTCATGCATGACATTAATATGTGATGTCATGTTTTTTTGCAATGTTTCCACAAACACCTTTACAGTCTAATGGAATCCAGCACAATAGTCCAGTAATAAAGAGGAGCCTTTGGTAGAGAGGAAATGTATTTTTCTTTTGTTGTTGGGACTTTGTTGGACTTGATTCAACCTCACTGTGAACAGCTGAACAGAGCAAAGGTATTTATGTTATTGTGTCAGAAGCTGGACAGGTGTTAACTTCTGTATTCAGATTACAAAAGAAAGTTTTCACGCTGCATAGTCCAAGAATGTAATCAACCAGCCTCAACCCAGAAATTACATCTCCTCCTTTACTGGCTGTTAAAGTTCAATCTGGTCACCTAGATGATCTCAGCACCTTGTAGATCATTGTCACCTTTTTTTGTGATTGTGTGTGTGCAGGACAGGGGGTGGGTGGAGCTGGGTGAGGCACCAAACCAGGTCAGTGTGACTGTGTGATCTGATCCTATAGGGAGAATAATGCTCACCAGAGGAATTTTACAATACAGTAACAGGGGATTGCATACTGTAGAGATGGCTGAGAGATAGTTGACACTTATCGAATGTACAAAAAGGTATGTTTCTGTCTGTGTGTGCGTGAATTTAAGCCAGGTTTCCAGTTCAGCCAGACCTACGCCCTGCATTTCTCAGGGGTCTTCACTTTCTTTTCAGTCTCTCCCTCCATTGTTCCCGCTTCCTCCCGTTTCTACCCATGATCCCGCTGGACTGTCCTCAGGTGAAGCCGGCGTCTCACATCACTCTGTGCATTGTGTGCCCACTCAATGGGATCACTGTGGAGACAGCAGAGTCCCTGTTTCCAGGCCTGCTAGCAACACCAGTTTGTCCTCCCAGTATCACCCTGCAGGGCAGACAAAGACCTGAATATGAGGCCAAATATAGCTCCAACAGTCAGTTTGTGTGATGTACAGGAGTAAAGGAAATACACATAGGGTCAGACTATTGCATTTTGTTCTAGCTAGTAATCCATTTTCTCACGATTGTTTTTAATTTTCATTATCTCATTAGCTCAAATAGTCAGAGTACTTTTATCTTCATCACTGTTCAAGCATTTTTTATTATGTATATTTGGTAAAACTTTAAGACAAGCAAGGTTAAAATGCACTAAAAAACACCATACTACACTAATAAACAAAGTTTTTAGTTTTAAACAAACAAACAAAAAGAATGTTACAGGAAATAAATCAGGCGTCTCAGCTGATACCTGCTGTTTGCAAACTTGCGCTGCTGCAGACAAGGAACTGCATTTAAAATTTTGACACCCACCTGTGTAGTTAATGTGCACCACAGTTATTTTTTTCACTCCTCCACAAGGTGTCAAGTTGCATCCTCCTCCTTGTTGCTGTGGGGTTGGACATACCAAGTGTAGCTCCACCCTGACAAAGAGAGTCGTGCCTCTGCAGAATAACTCACCTGTGAAATCTGGTCCAGCAACAAACAACGGTCACTTGCACCATCAGGGTCTGACCTGACCAAGCAGCACGAGAGAAGACCTGCTGAAGAACTGATCGATGTAAGTACTATTCTGTCCTTTCTCCACTCTTGTTATTCATTAAATGACCATTTAATGTCACTGAATGAGTGATAAAGTTTCACTCAGGAGCAGATTTAAAGCTCACAGCTGTTCTGACACAGATGGAGAGATGCCTTGGAGGAGCCTACTGAGCCTCTGTTTGAAGTGATAGTTAACATTTCTTGTTGGGAAGTTAATCAGTCGGCCTCAAAGAGACACAAAACAGCTACAAAGAGACACAAAACAATGGCAAAGAGAGACAAAATGATGACAGAGGGATGCAAAATTATTACTAAGAGACCTAAAAAGACTACAGAGATGCACAGTGACTACAAAGGAACACAAAACAGCTACAAAGATATGCAAAATGACTGCAGAGAGACACAAAATAACTACATAAAGAGACTAAAAACGACCACGATGGGACTCAAAACAACTTCAAAGAGATGCAAAACAACTTTGAATGGATTCATAACAACTATGCAGAGACACAAAATGACTACAGAGATGCAAAACGACTACAAAGACACACAAAATGAAAAGAAAGAGACATAAAATGTCCTTAAACAGAGGCAAAGGGACTACAGAGAGACACAAAACAACCACAAAGAAACACAAAACAACTACAAAGAGATGCAAAGCTAGTACAGTGTGAAATAAGACTACAAAGATGCAAAATGACTACAGAGAGACACAAAATGACTAAAAAGAGACAGGAAGTGACCACAAAGAGAGGCAAAATGATTACAGACAGATTCAAAACTACAGATGGACATAAAGTGACAACAGAGAAAGTTAATTCTTGATTGCTGCTGCAAATGCATCCTTTCAGGTCTGTGATTCTGTCTTGAAATAACAGCAGTACTTCCGGTCCTGTCTGTCCTTGTAGATAGGCAGACTTCATATCTTCATAAGAGCACTGATTAAACTCCATCTGACTCTCCTGCAGTGGACACCATGGCCTCCACCATCTCTATGCGCAGCTACTCAGTGCGTCAGCCCTCCTTCTCCAGCATGTCTGTGAGGGACAGCGGGCGCAGCATCCGCTCCAAGCCTCCTGTCCCTCTGGGCACGTTGCCTCTGTCCCGTTCCGTCTCAATGGGCAACGGCCTCAACATGCTGGGCTCCAGCCTCTCCATCAACGGCCTCGGTGTCACCGCCAGTGAGAAGGAGACCATGCAGGGCCTGAACGACCGGCTGGCCAACTACCTGGATAAGGTGCGCTCACTGGAGAGGTCCAACGCTGAGCTGGAGGTGAAGATCAAGCAGCTCATGTTGGAGAGGGCTCCAAAAGGGCACGACATCGAGGGGTTGATGGCCCAGGCACATGCCATCGGGCAGGAGGTCAGTGTCTGATGATCAGATTTATGAACTTGCTTTCCAAGAGAGTTTTGTTTCACACATTTAATTGTACCACATCGATTCTGATGTGTACTTCTGGGACCATCTTTTCAATGTGTGGCCATCTTTTTCTCTTCAGATTATGTTTGCCTTTTTTTTTATTTTGGGGTGAACTGTCCCTTTAAGAAACTTAGTTAAAGCCAGTGATAAGAGAGGCAGGACAAAGCTCCTGCAGCCAGATGGATTTGGATGTTCAGGGTGCTTTTGTAAGAGCATGTATGATTTTGCAGAAAACAAACCAGAACACTAACATTATAAAAAGCGCATATAATCTCCTTGATGGCACTTCTCACCTTATTCCCTGCTCAGGTGAGAAAGAAGACGCTGGAGAATGCCCGAATCATGCTGGAGATTGATAATGCCAAGCTGGCGGCCGATGACTTCAGGGTCAAGTGAGTGTCACACAGAGGTTCCTTTCTTTTACTTGCCTGTGAGTGTTCACATGGGAGCGCCAGACTGTGAAGCAATGTGAATAAATGACCTTTATGTCAGGCTGTGAAATCAGAGCCCCATTCCCACGGTGCACAGGCACCCGCAGGAGACGAAGATTGCCATCAGTGAGCGCAGGATGTGATAGATTGTGCAGGTCAGAGAGACGTCATCAGTTTCTGAGGTCCAGAGTTGGCAAAGTGGAGATGAGGGATAGATGGTCAGAGTCGGGAAACACCCACCCTCTGCTGGTGTTTTCACAATGTGTTGATGGTATGTTTTGTGGCCTGATGTGAAGGAGTGATGCATCAATTGGCAATGATTTATGGCATTAGCAGCAAAGTGCATGTGTACCTTACATGCAGATCTTTGCACGAGTTTTTATGGTATTTTTCACATGTGTGCACCCATACTGGGATTATATTCTGAAAGGTTTTTGCATCCTGTTCTCAGCTGCATGTGTTACACCATCTCCAGTTTGTGCTTCTCATGTCGATTCAGTCTCGTCAGTGGTGGATCGTTACTTAGTTTTGAGGTACTTGTACTAAATATTTATTGGCCAAAATACCTAAGTATTTTTATTTTATGCTACTTTCTATATCTACTGCACTACATTTCAGAGGAAATAAAATAGTTCTTTTAATCTAACAGCTGTAGCTACTGTAAACCGCTTAATAAATGTTGCATGTTTTTTTTTTTGTATGTCAAATCTTAATTTGAATAATCACTAGTAACTACAGCTGTTAGATCTTTTAATCTAACAGCTGTAGCTACTGTAAACCGCTTCAGCAAATGCTGCTTTTATGTTATTGCATCAATATTTGAAACCAAGTCATGACAGTTTTATTTATGCAGGCAAAATTCACAATTTTGCCTCAAGGATCTCAACAATCTGTAAAGCATATGACATCCTCTCTCCTTAGACCAGTGACACTCAATCTATGACCAGAGGGTCAATTTCTAATTCATGATGAAAATAATTTGATGCACATGGGGAATTTTTTTTTTAATACTTTGAATGTAAAAAACTGCAAGACTGCATAAAAGGCATCAACATAGAACTTGAGTATCAAAAAAGGGTGGCACAGGCATAGTGGTTAGCATTGTTGCCTCAAAGCAAGAGAGTTCCTGTTTTGAACCCAGGGTGGGGGAGCCCTCAAACATGTTCTCCCCGTGTCAATGTGGGTTTTCTCCAGGTGCCCCAGCTTCCTCCCACAGTCCAAAGACATGCAGGTTAATAGGTAACTCTAAAATGTCCGTAGGTGTGAATGTTGTCTGTCTCTATGTATCAGCACTGTGATAGTCTGGTGACCTGTCCAGGGTGTACCCTGCCTCTCGCCTCGCTCATTATTAATAAATTATTTATTAATGTTTGTTTATTAACTGGCCCCTGCCTCCTGTCATTTTGCAAAAGTGGCTTTCTTGCAAAAACACTGCCTTAGACCCTTAATAATTCCATAATATATCAACTCAAGTAAAATATAGTATACTTTACCTTAAGGTATGATCTGCTGAAAATGCTGAACTATTTAACTTGTAATGGAGTATTTTTTACAGTGTGGTTTTAGGAGGCAATCTGACTACTTTTGCCACCGCCAATTATTATTAAATTTGAGTGACAAAAATATCCACTTCGGACTATTTAATAACACATACTACTGTTTTAAAGGTATTTCCAATGTCCTCATAGACTCACTAACTTGCACGTTTATTTCTAATAAAGATAAAGATTAAAAGATGACAGCAGGAAGACACATAGACAAAACTGAAAATATTTTTTCTGAATGATTAAAAATGACTTTAATACAGTTTGACAAAATCATCTTCAATCAGGATCCACTTACTAGTTCTCTTCTGAGCATCTCATGACCTTCATCATCTGATTGAAGGCTTGAGCTGAAACAAAATTTCCCAAGTATGAACTTTGATATACAACATCAACATAGACTGAAACTTAATTTTGTTGATGCATCATAAGAATTAAGTGGAAGATACGCCTGGCAGCCATCTTTGTTTGGATTATTCACAACTTGGAAAACTTCTTTAAGATCTTATAAATGTTGCAGCTAATGAAATATTTGATTACGCACATGAACAGAAGACTTTTTGAGGGTGCTTAAATTCTGGATGAAATGACATTTTGTGGTTTTTGTAAAATCTGCCAACTTGTGTTTAAACTGTAACTGAAATGTCATTACAATGCATGAGAGACACAAACTGGGACCAGTGTTGCACATGTCTGCTGATGACCTCCCTTCCTCTAATTTTAATTCTCCCTGCTGCAGATGGGAGGCAGAAGCCACCCTGTGCCAGTCAGTAGAGAGAGACTGTCAGGCTCTGAGGAGAGCAAAGTCCGACCATGACCAGATCATCGCCACTCTGCGAGGAGACCTGGACAGTCTGAAGGAGGAGCTCTACTTCCTCAAGAAGAATCACGATGAGGTGAGATCCCTGCCAAGGTGAAGGTCATGTCAGACTATGATAAATGTGGGTTGACTCATCAAGATAATGACTTTACAAGTTGTCAGGTGTCGTCTTGTTTAAACGAAGGATGTCTTTGAAGCACGGAGGGTCATCTGAGCTGCATGAAAACCAGTTTACTGCATCTGAACATGATTAATGTCCTCCCAAAACCACAGAGCTGTAAAACATTCCAGTTTTTCTATCAGCAACACAGTAGCAGAAGGTTTAACAGTTTTCAGTATCTGAAACATGATCAGTTAAGTGTATACACACCCTTTGTCTTTGTAGCCATAGTTCTTCAAGACAACACCCATGTACACAACACAGGAGTATCTGAGCCCATCCAGCAGCTGGGATTATATGTGTGTTTAGACTGAGAGGTGTGGTGTCCAGGATGTTAACTGTAGACTGTGAACACAATGGATTTTATTTGAATATTTATCTTGCACTTACTGAGGTGATCACAAAAAATAATAAAACATAGAGGTTAGTCAGGAACAATTAAAGTTCACCGCAGCATCACAGCATCTACATCAGTACATTTTTTGGACCCCTTAAATTACTAGTCATTTTACATACACTTTGTGTTTTGTGTTTGTAAAACATGATGCATTTTTCAGTGCACTAAAGTAGTTTTGCAATAGAGTGATTTTTTTAAACATATTTTTGAAAAAATGTTCATAATTCTAGCGCTGCCAAACTTCCTCATTTGTTCTCTCTTTAGTATTTTTAAACAAAAATATCCTTACTACCTTTCACTTGTTGAAGCTTATAATTTACTGGTCAATCTACACCAACCTGGGGTCCCCCAGGAGGAGCTGGAAAGTGTTGCTCGGGAGAGGGACATCTGGGGTGCTTTGCTTGGCCTGCAGCCCCCACGACCCAGGCCCAGATTAGCAGATGAAAATAGACCTCATCTACTGTTGTGCTCAGGAAAGTAAAATAAGAAAATAAAGGCACAGGGCAGGGTTGCTGCAAAAAAATATACACCGCCACACACTTCTAGTTAGTCGAGTCTATACTTTGTTTTCAGGAAAATCCTGCATAGTATACCTTTAAGTAGGATTTTGAATGAAGCCCTTTAAGTATTTTTGTAATTTGGTATGACCACTTTCACTCATGCAAAGGCTCTGAATACTTGTTTCACTGCTGAATACTTGTTTCACTGCTGGATAGTGGATCAGTTAGACACTTAAAGTTGTCCTATTTGTGAGGTATAACCTAAATTCTGCTTTTCCTTTCCCCTCTTCAATTCATCACAGGAGATGAACTCATTGAAGTCTCGTCTGGCCAACGAGCAGGTGAACGTGGAGGTGGATGCGGCTCAGGGTCCTGATCTCGGGGCCATCATGGCTGAGCTGAGGGTCCAGTATGAGGGCATCGCTCGCAAGAACAAGGAGGAGGCCGAGGCCTGGTATCTCAAGAAGGTCACTGCTTGAATCAGCTCTTATTTTTCTGGTATTAATACGTATGGACTGCATACTGTACATTAAATATTTAATGTGTGTGTTTGCAGTTAGAAGCAGTGCAGTCGGAGGTCAAAGAAAGCAACGAGGCTCTGCGCTGTGCCCAAAGTGAGCTCAGTGAGAGGCGACGTTTCCTGCAGGCGCTGGAGGTCGAACTCGACAGTCTTCGGAAGCAGGTAGAGTACACAGGGTGCAGGGGTGAATATGTGAACGTCTGTATGTGATCACCCATTTTATAAAGTTTCATGTTTGCTACCATTCCTCTGCTTCTTTAGAGCTCAACCTCGTCCTCACCTTCTCCTCTGGACACATGTTATCTGTAGATTACAGCTGCTTTCTCCTTGTCAACAAATAGCTTTTAGCAGCACAGTGTACACAGCAATTTATTCTGCCCCAATAATCAATCAGTGTGACAAGACGAAGAGTCAAACAAGCAGAGGTTTTGTCTGTGTTCCCGCTACATGTGAACACAGGTCAGCAAATAGAGCTGCTCAGTGGAGGCAAATATAGCTCATGGATGTTTGCCTAATAGTGAGCACACCATATTGAATGCAGAGATATTATCGCGTTGACAGTGTTAAGTGTCTTTGGATGAGTGGTGAGGGGCCGTGAATGGATGAGCTCAACAGGTAAACATATAAAGCAATACTGGGTGGTAAAAATGTACATTGTTTGAAACTGTATACCTGTATGTTCTGGTAACAGGTGGGTGTGTTGGAGGGAAACCTTGGAGAAACAGGACACAAGTACTCTGTGGAGATGGACCGTCTTCAGGCCACGCTGACCCAGCTGGAGGACGAGCTGTCTCAGCTGCGTTTGGACATGCAGCGCAACAAGACCGACTACGAGCAGCTGCTGCGCATCAAACAGAACCTGGAGATGGAGATCGCCACCTACAGGAGGCTGCTGGAGGGGGAGGAGATGTAAGTGAGGGCAAGGAAACAATGCTCAGTCCTCAACATTACATACATATAACTTCACATTTTTGAGTATAATTCAGAAAAGAACTTAAAAATCTTGTCACTGCAAATATGGTACTGTTTTTAATATTCATATTTCTTTTTGCTACACAAGAATACATGTAGTTTGTGGTTAACATGAATATACATGTATTTTACACACCAACTATACACTGTAAGACTTTGAAAAGGTTAAAGTCTGAGTCTGAGTTTGATTAGATGATCGATACCTCAGTCATCAGCAGCTGCGAGTGGTATTTATTGTATTTATTAGGACTTCCATTAGTTGATGCAGATACATCAGTCACTGATATCAACCTTCTCATCTAACTCTCAGCAAGAAGCAGAGTCAGCATCTTTTCCAAAATATGGAAATGTTTCTTTAAAGTGTCCTACAGCTAATGGCATCAGATATTGAATGAACATGATTTATGCTTAATTTTTTCATACTCTTTTGTCCAACAGGGTGAAAGAAACACCTCCACCTCCTAAAAGTAAGTTCAGATTTTTTTCATTTACTATTTATTGAATGCTAATGTTATTTGCTGTAAGGATTCTTTATTTAAAGTCTCACATCTTCACATGGTCCTGTGGCAAATCTTACAGCAGGTTACTTGTGCTGTGTTTGTTAACTTCAGTGTTTCGCTCTTATCTGATCCAGTGAGGATAGTCAAATAACCACACCCAAGGCCAGCTCCATTACCATGTGGGCATCAGGGAGGTTTTGCAAAATGTAGGAAAGGATCAGATGACCACATGTTGCAGGAGCATCCAATCCTTTCCTAAAATTTCCAGACTCTCCCTTTTGCCCATATGAATTCCGGCCTCAGGTGTGGTCGGTAGACACCCACACAGGATCTGATAAGAGCAGAAAAAGACAAAACACAGCACCAAAGAAATGATGATTCTCTCAATGGAAGTTGAAATCACTGACATCCAATCTCTTCTCTTTTTCCTCCCTTTTGTGTTTTTTTTGGCATGAATTTTACTGACATTAGGTTACATTTGAGTATTGAGTTGTTAAAATATTACCTTTCAGCACAGCCTCATAACCTCAATACTGTAAACGAACACCGCCTTTACAGTAAGTGCTGTTTTGCAAGCCGAGAGAGTTTTTTTACTGACCCTGCTTTCATTCTGTTCCACAGAAGACCCCGACGTAAGGACCAGGAAGATCGTAAAAGTCGTCACTCAGACCATGATAAACGGCAAGGTGGTGGACGAGTCCAGTGAGGTGGAGCAGATTGAGGAGCACAAAAAATGAGCCAAAGTGTGTGAAGAGAAGAAGCAGTGATGTCTGTTAAACCTGAAGTGGATCAAATATCACCACAACCTTTTTGGGGTTTTTTTTTATTATGTTTTTGTTTTAATGCCTTAAAGTTTGCCAAATAGACTGAAATGTGTGGAAATAAGTTCAACCTAAAATATTATAGTCCTTTGCAGCAACATGATATATTTTTGGTCTGCATATCATTTGAAACATTACAATACCAGTATCCTTAGGGTGATGCAGATACCAACAGAGTGCTTCAGTTGATACCTTTTTTTTTCTACAGTACTTCATTTGATACCTGTCATGTGAATGGAAGCATTTGTGTGTGTAGTATAGCCATACTTTTGAACATTTTGGCAGCAACTCCGCGTGCTCAACAGCCAACTCCAATGTCAAATGCTTAACTTGACCCCACCACAGACTGCATGGCTGCATTCACACCAAATCCGCCCTTGCTTTAAAGAAAACAGAATCCAGTTCTCCTATTAATTTGAATGTGGGTAGAATATCTAGGCTCTGGTGCTGGGGCCGGAGGGGGAGGCTGAAAAAAAGTAGCGGCCTGAAAAAGGTTTAACTTTTGTAAAAACACATCCCGTTGGTTGTGTGGGAAGCATGGCGGTGCAGTGTCTTGTCTTCTCCCTGTGTCACTGTGGGTTTTCTCTGGGTACTCCAGCTTCCTCCCACAGTCCAAAGACATGCAGGTTAATTGGTGACTCTAAATTGCCCGTAGGTGTGAATGTGAGCGTGAATGGTTGTCTGTCTCTATGTGTCAGCCCTGTGATAGTCTGGTGACCTGTCCAGGATAAGTAATGTCTCTTTCTATTGTTAAATATTATATTGAGTAAAAAAATAAAATATGTATTAAGAGTATGTACTATCTTACAAAGGAGAGTGCTCGATTTGTTTGCGTGTGTGCACACGTGTGTCTGTTGTGGCAGTAAAGATACTAACATGATAATCATGACATGATCATGACATGATAATCAAAAGGACGTCACAGATAACATAACAAATGCGCCATTTCAGTGATACTCCCACACCACCACCAAGCCTGTGGCTAATTGCTGTAATGCCTATGCGGTGCAGTAGAAGGCAAATTATGCGTCACATTAAATCAAAGAAGACATACTTAACATTTTTCTAGATCTGACAAAAAGGATTGAATGCAGGTGTTGTTTGACTGGAGAGGTTTCAATACAACTTGGTACTGGGTTATTTTGGTCGATACCTTAAAGCTGTTGATGACCGATACCTATTCCTATATATATCTGTACATATGATCTCTAAATGTAAGAAGAAACTCTTAATCCTGATATATGATCCTCTGAAATGTTTGAATAGTCTGTTTAAGAATGCTTGTCCAAGGATTTATGTGCAGATTGTGCTGGAACTGAATGAAACATGCAGTCTTCTACAGCAGATTGAGTTTGCTCTGTAGTCATCAAAATATGAAACATCGGGAAAAAGAAAGCACCTGGACCTTTTGCATTCAGATGTTTTTGTGACACTACTGTTTTTGAGCTCTAACGCTCATTTTATTTGAATTTAAACAAATAGTTTCTCATTTTTTGGTAATTATGGTTATTTGCTTTATTGCTGAGAGTTTGATTAAAAGATGTAGCTTCATATTTAATGCAAACATGAAAGTCTTCTCATCTAACTCCCAGCATGAAAGCCAGTAAGTGATTTTCCAGATTTTCTTTAATAGTGACTGAAGCTTTTAGAAAATGTCTTGATCTTGCATTATCTATCTGTACACGACAGTGTCACTGTAAAAAAGTAATGGGAGTGTTTTAATGTGTTGCAGTTTTATGATGGACAGGAACAAATCAACCAAAGCAGCTGTACAGTGTCAATAAATAAAACAGTGTTTAAAAGAAAGAAAAGTGTCCCTGCTCATTTTCAGCTGAAACAGAAACTTCAACTGATACTGCAGGAACATAATAGCATGAAGAGACAAAGATTTTGCACCAAGAGGGCAGAAACTACAAAACCTCCATACAGTAGTTTCAGGTGACGGGCTTTTGTGTATTTGTGTAAGTGTTGTGTTTCAGTGTGTTTCTCTGTTAGTTTGTGTGCACGTGGACAAACAGCTCAGAGGACTTAAAGTAATGTTGGAACATGAAGACACAACATGCTGAAAATGTATTTGAAATGTTAACAAAGTGAAATAAGAATAAAAAGGCCAAAGTAAAATCCCAAGGTACAGTGAATGAAAGTTATTGTGTTGTCATTCTGGGTCACTGTGATACAAGAAGGAACAGGTCAGGTGTCATGGCAACATGGAGACAATGAGTTCACAGTTTAACAACAAGAGTTTAAAATCATGTCAAAGGTTTCTCCACCTGAGATTTGGGCTGAAAGCATTTTAGGATTCTGGTGGGTTTTTTTTATTGTGAAACTGTTTTTCTTTCTTTTCTTGTCTTGAAATGTGATCGTCATTTGGGGATTTCAGCGACTTTGAGTTTTGTAGCTGATCACTGAAGTGTTTTGTTGGTGTGAGAAGTTCCTCAGATGGGTGTGTTTGCAGTGGTGGAATGTAATTAAGTACATTTACTCAAGTACAAATTTGAGGTACTTGTACTTCAACTTCAACTTGTACTTAACTTGAGTGTTTTCTTCCATGTCACTTTCTACTTTTACTTCACTACATTTTAGAGAAAATACAAACCTTTTTACTCCACAAAAATTATTTGAGCTTCTGCTACTAGTGACTATACACAAACATAAAAAGCTTATAAATTACAATGTTTTTGTTATAAATTAAAACTCCCTAACAGTATGAACAGTGCAGCTACACTCACCGGCCCCTTTATTAGGTACACCTGTTCAGCTGCTCATTTATGCAAACAGCTAATCAGCCAATGACATGGCAGCAACACAATTTAGTCATGTAGACATGGTGAGAACGATCTGCTGAAGTTCAAACCGAGCATCAGAATGAGGAAGAAAGGTGATTTAAGTTACTTTGAACGTGGTTGTTGGTGCCAGAAGGGCTGGTCTAAGTATTTCAGATACTGCTGATCTACTGGGATTTTCACACAGAACCATCTCTAGGGTTTACAGAGGATGGTCCCAAAAGAGAAAATGCAAAAATGCGTTGCTGATGCCAGAGGTCAGAGGAGAATGGCCAGACTGGTTCAAGGCAACAGTAACTCAAATAACCACTGGTTACAACCAAGGTCTGCAGAAGACCATCTCTGAACCAACAACACGTCCAACCTTGAAGCAGATGGGCTACAGCAGCAGAAGACCACACCAGGTGCCACTCCTGTCAGCTAACAATGTATGCCATGAAGAATTAAGGCAGTTCTGAATGCAAAAGGGGTCCAACCTGGTACTAGCAAGGTTTACATGATAAGATGGCCAGAGAGTGTATGTTTTCATCATCTTAGAATGTACAGATTTTAGCTGCCAGACTTTTAACCAGAGCCAAGAGAAGTGATCACATCACTCCAGTTTTAGCCTCTTTACACCGGCTCCCAGTTTGTTTTAGAATAGATTTTAAGATGTCACTGATTACTTTTAACTCACTAGTGTTTTATGTTGTTTTTTTATTTCTGTTGTACAATATTTCTCTATTATTTGATGTGCACCCGTGGAATTCAGCTTTGAAAGGTGCTATACAGTATAAATAAGGTTAACTTACTTATAACTAACGTGGAAACCGAGAGAAACCTCAGCCTATGTAAGCACTCATTTTGTGCAGTGTCATGTCAATGTGAATATTTTATAGTTTGTCACTCCAGTGTGAAAAGTTTTACTATGACGCAGTAAGAAAACACACATTCCCAGAGTCAGATGTCACTGATAATGTCTGAGTCTTAAACTGCAGCCTCGTCATCAGCAGTGAATGATATTGTTTTTGACACCTTGGTGACAAACTTGTACAAATCCAAACATGGATGTTTCCCATCAACCTTTAGGAGTCTCTTAACGTGTTAACTGTCCCATGAGGCCATTCAGCAGATTTACAGGCACACAGAGGAGACAACAGCTGTTTTGTGAAACCCAGAAAAAAAGACATGAGACACACCTGACCCCAAAGTCTTCTTTTTTCACTTAAGATCATCTTTGAATTGCAACGTAACAGAACACGCTGTCATGTTTGATGTAGAGTAACTCATGGAGTGATTGAGTGACTCAGTGTCTGTGTTACTGTCTGATTTCATGATTTTATATCATGTTTAAGATTTGGTGACCTGGACAGGGGCAGATTTACCTGCACATGGTGCCTGCACAGATTCACTTAACATCTTCGGTGTCAGCTCTACTGATAGTTGGTGAGCAGCGTCTCCTTGTGGTTAAAAGCATTCACTGCTCCCTACAGAAAAAAAACAAAACAAACGCACTTCATGGGTTTTATAAGTTTTACCCTCATGATGATTCCGATGCTCTCTGTATGTCTCTAAACTTTTTTTTTTTTTAATTCTAAATAATGTATTTACTGCATCTTGTCACTGTAAGTGGAAAAATGTGAACATTACCCTCTGTACAAATACATGATTATGATACATCAACTTAAATATATACACAAATAAAATAGTGATAATGACATAACATGTTACTAATAATGAACCGAACCTATATGTTGTGGTAATGAATAAATAAATAAAGGTAAGGTAATAACCCTAAAGCAAATAATCTAATACACACATACATTATACTGAAATATATTTAAAAAAATAAAACAAAATAATAACATATCAAAAATAAGTAAAATAAAATAAAAACACATAGAATAAAAATGTAACTGCTTTTTGAGCTATTGGGAATGTCACTCTACTGATAATTAGCACTTTTACAATTTTGGGAAATAAAATAATTGCAGCATTTTTTAGATGATTATTTTATTTCTTGTTTATTTATTGTTTATTGATTATTACAATTAGAATTTATTTTATTTTATTATTCTAATAATAGTATTATTCTTTTCAACTCCAGTTGAAGATGCTCTACGCACGCCCTAAAGCGCATGCGTGACAGTTAAAACCCATCTTTGTAGTTCAGAAAGTGAGTCTGGCTCATTAGCTAGTGATTGACACTTCACCTTTCAGAAAACGCCAAAATAAAGCGAAGTTATGTAAGTTTGAATTTAACCAACACGGTCTAATTATTCAAGTTATATTTGTTCAATTAATGCTGTTAATCTTAAATGTCATCGAAAAGTGTCATTAATTAAAAGTTCGTCGAAAACAAGTTAGCTAAATTTGCTATCTTACTTGTAATAGCTAGCTAAGCTAACGTTAGCTAAACAAAGCTAGCTAACGCTGCTGTTAAAGAGTTATTTTGTGATAGACTCCCTTATTTTAGTTTAGTAATAGTTACTTATTCAGAGTGATCTATTTTAGGTTTTCGTTAAGAAAAATAATGATTCAGAATTTAATATTTTCCTAAAAATATGCTAATTTATGATTGAATTGTGGTTTTTATTATATTAACAGGTGTGAAAACGACAGTTGTTTTCCAGCTCAGACTTTCTCTGCTGTCAGATTTAAAGCTCTGGATTATGTGTTTGAGGTGAGGTTGTGACTTGTTAATTTTTCCGCAGAGTGTTATCATTAAACCCCAAGGATAAGCTGTCCTGCCTCCCTCTTATATCTTTATTTCAGACCACCACCAGTCTAAAGGTAATGATGAACCTACTGGCACTGCCAGCACCTTACTACACTGGTACCAGTGACCTGTACCCACACAGTGGAAAACTACCTGAAGTCACCTACAGGACACCGTGGATCAGAGGTATTCAAGTGGTCCAACCACAGAAATAATTGGTCTATTGGTCCAGCAAAGGTCAAAGAATCACCATATTTACTGGTTTTGCCATGTTGTATGTTTCAGCAAGAGGTTTTATTTTTAATTTTAACACAGTATATAGCCCAAGATCTCTACCTTGGTCCATTGTGCACCAACTGCATCATTTGTGGGAGAAGGAAATTAAAGTGAATGGACTTTTGGACTGGGACCCATCAGTTGGGAACCACTCAGGTTTTAGTCTCTCTAAAACTAGTTTCTCTAAAAGCTATTTTCACAGCTTTCTGCAAATTATTCATCACTCTTTGACAGATAGCTAACATAGTCCAGTAAAGTCCTACTGAAATGTAGTACATAAACACTTATTGGTACCAGACTACCCTGAAAGAGATCAACACAAAGGGTTTTTAATTGTTTTGTATTATTATAGGAAAGGTGATCTCCACCTGCAAACTCTTTGTCAGTGGTTCTGTGCTTGAAGACCTGGGCCAGAAACAAGAAGTTATTCCACCAGAAAGGTTAAAAACAGTTTCACTATGCATCAGTTTACCCTCCTTATCTTTTATTGTTTGAGTCGTACTTGCTGAGCAGTTCAAGATGAATAGTTTTGATTAAAAGTTTTTCTTATATTCCAGATTTACAGTGACTCTGAGTGAGGTGAACTTGGACATGATCCCCAGCTCTAATCCTGACTCACTGAAGGATCTAGACCAGGATGAGTATGTCTGCCTTTTAAAAGAGTCACAGATAAATAATCCATGTCAGGAATCATTTTTCAAGTGGACGACTGACCAGATGAAACATGAAAATGAGGACAAAGGTAACTCAACATCTGTCAGCTATTTAATTTCATCGTTCCCTCGTACAGTGTATTGTCTATTTTCACTGATCGTCTCTCCTCTGTCACAGATCTCTTCCTGCCAGAGGAGCTCATGGCTGTTGATTACTTGCCACACTTTAAGAGGCATTTACCCACACTTAAACCCAAACTGTCCCGTCTGAGGACGCTTCCTGTGGCTGACCCTCTGCTGAGCTCAACAGGAGATGTTATCACTGAAGACGGCATATTCAGGTGTATATGTTCATCCTGACATGTGTTTCATAGTTATGTGATGAAGAGGTTGTTGCACCTTAAAATTACCAACAAGTATTAGCATCAAAATATAGTTTACGTACCAAAAGTAAGTAGTGGTCATTATGCACAACGCTCCAGAAATGTTGCAGCATAATACTGGTAATATTTATGATAAACATAGTGGGTTAGTGACTAAATGTGTTTTCCCCTGAGGATCAACCAAGTTTTATCTTAATCTTTCATCATAATTTATTTGTTGATCTGAATCTGCAAAGTAACTAAAGGTATCAAATAAATGTAGTGGAGTAAAAAGTACTTCTACTGTTGGAGTATGAAGTAGCAGAAAATGTAAATACTCAAAGTACCAGTACATCAAAATTGTACGTGAGTAGATGTACTAAGTTACTTTCCACTGCTGCTTTTCAGGCACTACGCGTCTTATGAAAAACCTCCTGATGTGTGCACCAGCGACATTCAGTCAAGTTCACACATTCACGAGGAGTTTGGTAAAGAGTCACTGATGAAAGACGAGGTAACTAGTAATAAAAATGACAAATTCAATGTAGGAATTCTTGTGTAGGAAGACTTTAAAATTGAAAACTTTTTTCTGTGTAGTATCTGTTGTTGCCGGTTGCCATGGACACGCTGAGTCTGAGCCAAGCAAACATCTGTACTCACATGGATGTTGCTCCTGAACAGCTTGATGAGGAGCCTCCAGTCCTGGATGTGCTTCATAAAGGTAATGATCAATATATAACTTACATAAGATAAGTACAGTTGCACAGTAGGTCAGAAAGTTAAACCTGATATACTAGAGTCACATTTCTCTCAGCTTCACATGTGTCAGTGTCAGTGGACATTTCCCATTATGAAGCACCAGAGGAGGCCAGTAAAAAACGCAGCATGGATGGAGGCCTGATGGAGTCAGAGCTGGCAGGTAAGAGTTACAGAGAGAAAACATAAAGAACAACATGTTTGGACAGAAATCTTTTATACAGCAGCTGGTTTATATAAATCTACCACTTAATACTCATCAGATGTGGTGGAAGACATACTCAAATAATTTACTTCTTAAGTAAAGTAGAAATACCACACTATTAAAATACTCAATTTCTCAAGTCCTGCATTCAACATTTTACTTAACTTTACTTGAGTAAAATTACCAACAAAATGTACTTAAAATATCAAAATTAATGGTACTCATAGACAGACTGGCCCTGTCAGTGTTATGTTATCGGATCATTATTATTTATGTATAAACATGGTCAGGCAGATTACATTTTATCAGGTTTTTGTAAACAGATTATAAAAAAATAACTATAATCAGCTCAGATTACATTGGAAAAAAAATGTAGTTATCTAACAGTAACATTGCCAAGGATTACTTGATTAGATAATTAGTGCATTTATAAAACCGATAGACACTGTTGTCTTTTAGAATATATACAAATAAGGAAAAAAAAAACACAACAAAGAAAAAAAAATAAAGCACCGAATCTAGACACCCAAAACAAAATTGAAGGATCCTACATTTAAGAATCTGCAAATGGCATTACACTGTTATCTTCTCCAGATATTGAATGGCTTCAAATAAATTCACCTGCTCATTTCTAATATATCTGATCCTTTTTTGTGATGTTTAAAAATAAAAAAAGAGTATTTGTGTAACTCACATTTTTGTTGCTGTGTCAATTTATTTAATATAAGGTACACAATTTTCAATGTTCAGTTTTGTAGGAATTCAGAAATATTCAGATTAGATTAAATTTTTTTTTTGTAATCCAATGGATTACAAGTACTAATTATTAAAAATTGCTGTGTAATTTGTATTCAGTAACTGACTACATTGAATATGTGCTTACATTTTGTAGAGTTGTTGAGGTGAAGCTATTTCATCGCTTTGTACACAGTTTGATAGTTTAATCTATAATATTACATCATATTTGATAAATTCGTCAAACAAGTCCATACATGTCTAAATTAGATCTAAATCTGAAAAGTAACTATAAGTGTTAAATAAATCTACTAAAAAAATATAATGTTTCCCTCTGAAATGAAGTGGATTAGAAGTATGAAGTGGTATAAAATACAAATACTTAAGTAAAGAACACATACTCAAAATTGCACCTCTGTAAATTTACTTTTTCCTCCACTGCCCACTGATCAATCAATCAATCAAACTTTATTTATATGGCACTTTTCATACACTTTTCATCATAAAAACAAACAAAAATAATACATACATATTGAAAACCCCTCCCCACATATAAACACACACACACAGTCAATATAGTCAATAACATGACTGGGCACTGAGGAACCAGGTGAGGAAAGAACCACCTATGGGGAGCCATCCACACTGAGAGGCGCTACAGCCCACAGCCACAGGGAGCGCCGCCACAGGGAGCGCCGCCACAGAGACCACCCCGACCAGACAGACCGGGGTGGACTCCACACATGGTGTGGAGATTAGGAAAAATTAAAGAGTTAAAGATTAAAATAATATTAATAATAATAATAAATAAATAAATAAATTAAGATTTAGAGACTAAAATGCATAAAGATTTAAAAATAAATCATTTAAAACATATAATAGAAGAATTAAAAGAGTAAAAGAAATCAGTTAAAAGCTAAATTAAAAAGGTGAGTCTTGAGCCTCCTTTTAAAAACATCAACAGTCTCTGCAGTCCTGATGCTCTCCGGCAGGCTGTTCCATAAGTGAGGGCCATAATGGCTGAATGCAAATAAGATGGCCAAAGACCGTTAAGACATTTAAAAACTAGTAAAAGAACCTTAAAATCAATCCTGAAACACACGGGGAGCCAATGCAGCGACTGATGCATTCGAATGTGGCTGAAAGACAAACCAACTGCAGCTACAACTCTTTTTCATAAGTATTTGTCAGCTGCTGCTGTAAACCTGTGATTAAACTTAATCTTCCTTTCAGGACGACTGACGCTTCTGACTGAAATGGAGCTGGACGTGACTTTGACTCCGACTCCCAAGATAAGTCAAACCCAAATCTGTGTGTCTACATGTGACCTCCAGGAAGAAGAGATGTCAGAGCTCTGCAGACAGTAAGTGACAACATGTGGTTAAACAAGTCACAATTTATTTTCACTGAACTTACAAATAAAGAGCTAATTACCAAGTTAATGAAGAAAACTAACTAAAATAGCTGATAGTTAAACATGGTCTCAGTTTAAATGCCAAACTCTCCTGTCACACATACAGAGGATAAATCAATAAATAAGTATGTAGAAAAGCTCTTGTAACTTATCTGATCGTCATGTAGATCTTTGGTGTCGGCCAAAGCTCAGGAAGAGATGGAGGCAGCACTTTGGATGGCGGAGAAGCATCCAAACTTTGTGGTGGGCTTTCTGTTGGCAGGTACATATTAAGTTTTACAGGTTTATTGTTCAGTGTTTTCATGATGTTGAATCAGAGCTTATAAGATTAAAACTTCACAAATAGCAGCATGTTTAAAATTCAAGTTTACTTTATTTGTCCCTAGGGAAATTTGTCTTGGACATAAAAATATGTATATGAATAAACAATTGTGGGGGCTGCTCCCTCACCCCCATCACTTTCATTGCTGTGTGGACTTGACTGATAAATTACCAAACCAAGCTGAAATATTGCAATTTAAGATACTATCCTAGCATGATGATATAATATCATTACCCTCTGTCCAGCCCCAAACACCCTGAGTGCAAAAAGTAAAGTTGCTGTTGGATCCTAGTGGAGATACAGTACAGAATTCACATGGACAATCCATGTTATATTGCTTTTACCTCAGTCTTGAAGGGCTGTTGTAAGTGTATCAAACCACCAGATGTCTTTTTTTTTCAGCACAAACAAAAAGAAAGCTCCAAAGCCTCACAAAGTTTCATCTGTCTGAGTTTTTAGATTTTGACGAGACTATAAGTCAGGACATCTCAGCTCCTGCTGCAGTGCAACCCTGAGAAGTAGTCATTTGAAGAAGATAGTTTGCTGGTGCATTATTTATTCACAGTATCAGCGAACCTTATTTTTAAACACTTTATTGTGAAATGTGTTAATTAATCACAAAATTTTGACAAATATGAAGTGCTGTTGTAGAATTGAGTCTTTACATGTTTGATGTGGTTACTGAATCTCTAATCTTGACAGTTACAGAGACCTACAATACAAATAAATCTACAAATGATGTCATTAAATATTTAATCTGCTGTATTGTCTCACAGAGCCACATATATATGAAGCAGCCATCGACTTCCAGCCGCTGTCTGAAGCCTGTAAAGTCATGAAGTCGGAGAATCAAAGCTTCGTCTACAGTGGTGAAAAACTGCAGTTACAGGTGGAGACAGGAGCTCCACAGGTGTACTTGTGCCGCAGCCTTGAGTTCACAGAGAGCCTGAGGTGCAAGTCTCCTCCAGCCAACGAGGAAAAGATGGAGGATTTCAAAAAACTGTCACTTGAACATGTGGAGAGTGAGTAGGTATTTATTTTATTAGGTTTATTAGAAGATTGGAATGAATGTGGCAGCAGATTTCTGGTATCATCTCACCTCCTCTGGTTTCAGTCCCACTCAGATCCATCCTGAAGAACCCCACAAACAAAACTCAGTTACCTATCTTGAAGAAATCTGAAATTGCTGCTTTTCATGCTGAAGCTCTCGCAGACGACGCCCATCTTCAAAAAGAAACAGCTGCTGTTATGTCTCAGAACGCCTTCCTGATGCAGGCCGTCAACACAGACAATAAGGAAGTAAAATCTACACCCAACATCAGAGATCAAGTTTCAGACAAGAGGTTTTCAGAAGTTGCAGCCATGTTTTCTGCTCGCAAGAACGTCCTCAACATGGGTAGAGATGACTACAAGGTGGAGCAGAGAGCGGCGTCCCTCAGAGACTATCCCAGAGGTCCACTGGTTAAGAGACGTCCACCAGAGAAGGACTTGGATCCTCTGTCCACCTTCATGTTACTGAGATCTCAGCAGACTGCTCCAGTCACCACAACACCTCAGAGCTCAACTCCAGGTACGCTGTGATAATGTGGTTGAAATGAAAACACAGATGATGCATTTATTAAGTGTATCTCTGTAAAAAAAAAAAAAAAAAAAGCCTCAATATAATTTGCAGCTGTACTTTTATACATTTTTCTCCTGGTAACTTTGATGTTTTTAGTTTGTATGCTTGCTACAAAAAATATATGAATTATAGGTTAGTATAGTGAAGTTGATGATTTTCAGCTTAAGCCTTTATGGTACTAATAAGTCTTTGGAAACATTTTATTTTTCTATTTTGTTAAGATTTTCATCAATATTTTTGAGGGCAAAATATATTTTTGGTCCTTTTTTAGGCAACAGAAATGTGCATTGAGGATATGATTTAGTTTTAAAACTTTGGCTCCATCTAGTGGTCATATCAAGAATGTGCCCACCAATGTTTTTTTTTTTTAATGTGACTATAAAAGTCCCCACATAGTACTTGACATTATTTATGTACGTGGTTTTAAATGTTTTATTTTTATTGCTGAACAAAATTATAAATAACACAGAGCCAAAGCAATTTGTCAATCAATCAAGTTTAAGTTAATGCGAATTTTGATAAATGATTAGTTGTTGCAATTTTTTAAGATAAAATCTCTGTTTTGGGCTTTTCAAATGTTAACATTCAAATTTCTTTTTAAGTCTATAGTAAAACTGAATATATTTGGGTTTTGTACTGTTGGTAGCACAAAAGACGACATCTGAAAGGGAAATCAAAAATACATATTTTTCCTCTTACCTGTAGTGCTATTATTTATCAATGAGTTGCTGAGCATTGGAGATATCAGCTGTACAGACGTCTGCCTTCTCTTAAATATAACAGAACTAGATAGCACTCGGCTTGTGGTGCTCAAAGCACCCAAAAAACTCAACAGCAATGTCTCTTTCCAGAAATCATGACGCGGTTACTCAAGATAATCCACAGACCTTGTTGTGAGCAGTGTCATGTAGGAACTATTTTCTCTCTATGGATCTACACCTGCCAACTGTATCATTGTGCAGAAGGAAGCATGCATCTACTCATGGACAAGAGGCTTGTACTTGTGACATCGTGAATTGTACATGTTAATGGCTCGGCTGAACTGTGACAGTAGGTAGCTCAGTGGTGCAAGGTGAGCTAGGAGTAGATGCATGGTTCCTTCTGCGCAATGATGCAGTTGTTTGTTGTTGATTTTTGGGTGCTTTGTGCACCACAAACCGAGTGCCATCTAGTTAGAACTGTCCCTTCAATTGATTATGTAACTAATCAGTAGTTAAAGTGTTAAACATACTAGCATCCCCCTTACATGACTGAGTTATCATGAACTTATTAAATGAAATTCAACAGTCAGGAAGGTGGCTCCAAAATGCTAACCTTTTTTTGTTTCAAGTTCAAGATACCTCATTTGAATACATACCTTACTCTACTCATGATCTAAAGATACATTCATGCTGCACACTTTAACCTCATCCTCTTTTTATCAGAACCAAACGTGGACCAACAAACGCCTCCATCCCAGCATCATCAGCCTCCTCCAGAGAAGATACAAAGATCAGATCAGAGGCCAAAATATATAAGCGGTAGTGTGTCTGGAAATGCTACCAGAGAGCAGAAAGCAGCTTTTCAGTCGACGAGTCAACCTGTCTGTCAGTCCATCCCTCAGGACAGTAGAGTCGTACAGGTCCAAGCTACTGGTATGACACTTTCACGCTACCTTCAGTGAAAATATACAAAACCATGTGTCTTAAATTGTCCTTTGTGGAGAAGAGCACGGTTCAGATGGTTTAGAAGTTTGTTATTTTATCCCCTGGTGTTCTCGCTCACTGCAGACAGCCAGCAGCGCGCCCACTGTGAGCTACTGGCCTTCGCTCAGCCTTGTTTAAACTCTGCCAGACAGCTGGGGCTCAACTTCCCGGCATGGGGAGACTTCAGCTGCCTGGCCCCGGACCAAACACACTTCCTCCTCAAACAGCAGGAGAAGGCACTCTGCAAGACACAGAACGAAGAGCTGGTCAGAGGTACAGAATAACATTTCATAATCCAAAAAACACATTCATTGTAGAACTAAGATATTAATTTCATAAATCTGTGTTAGAAAAGGCGTAAAGTCCCACTGCTGGTTTATGTTGTATACAGATCAGGAGCTGCTTTTCAACCAGGCCGCTCTGATTCACGTGCTGGTGACATTCAAGGAGCTGCTGCTGAAGTGTGACCTCAGCACTGCTTTGGGTCAGTATAAACTGATGATATCTGGGTTTCAAATTGTGACTGTTTACTAGTAAATACAGAAAATACACAAAGTTTAACACTTAAAATTTGCTTTAACAGGGCGGTGTGGGTAGAGTTTCACCAGAGTTGATTGACTTGACACTGCTGACAACTAAACAACTAAAAAACTCTCAAAAAGTTTTAATTTGAATTTAATTTTAGCAAAGAAATACTTTTTTTTCAATTGAGTGATGTCCACTTCAGATTATTTTAACAAACTATTTCTGACTCTCTCTTTTAACCATAACTGACCATCACTCACGATATAAGGCTGAATGAAAATGAAGGGTTTTCAGGGCCTTTACACTTGTAAGGATGTTCATATTTGTGTGTGTTTAAACAAGTTCCCAACCCTAACTGTAGCATGGTGTATACAATATTGTGATGTTTCGGTGATTATTGTCTCCTCTTGCGCTAAAGACTACCTGACTAAGGCAGCTGAGGCGTGTGCAGAGCAAAGTCTGAAGCAGCTGGTGAAGAGGATGCAGATCATCTTCCACCTCAGTCAGAAGAACCAGGAGTCCAACTTCAAACTGCAGGAGATGCTGCAGCTGCTGGCTGCATGGCTGCACAGCAGGACAGGACAGAGCACTGCGGAGAAAGTCAGTTTCACAAACATTCATCACATTTCAATGTTTAACTGTGAAACACTGAGACCCTGGTTGATTTTTTCTTTCTGTAGATTCTTGTCATAATATCAGTCGACTCTGATGACATCAGCTCTTTAATCATCAGCAGCTTGAGCCAAGTGACTGGTGAGCAACTCTTAGAAGAAAAGAAAAGTTTCACTAATCAGCTACAACAGCACTACTAATAAACTAAATGCCACTGTGGGAACAAGTGTTGTGGCTACATATAAACTTTTGTTAAGGAATCCAGTCAATTGATTTACATCAAATAAACACATGATCACGTACGTGTCACAAAGTGTGTTTGCTTCATTGTCGTCTCAGGTGTTGCTGTTACTGCGATTTGTCCTGAGGAGGACAAGAAAAAACTGAATGGTGCCAGTGTGGTCAGCAGGTAAAAATGAACAGTTGGTTTTATCAGCATTTAAAAATGTACATATGGACAAAACCAAAAATGGCGTGTGCCAAAAAATATTTAATATATATATAATATATAATTTCTGCAATCAGGCGCCCACCTCACCATCTGCATCGCCAATTTCCCGTCTCCAAAATGTGCCTAAGCATGGGTCAAAGTTTCCCCGATTAAGTCTGTTTTTATAGATCACAACTTCTGCATGGGATGTGGAGTACCCCTCTTTCAGGCCTCGTTTTGTGCGCATGCAATGTTCATAAATGAGACCCCAGGTTATTTAAACTGGGAAAAAGGCTAAATAGAGCAGTTTATGGTTAAAAAAAAAAAGTGTTTTTCAGACAAGGCTCATCGTTGAGGGGTTGCTAACTTAGTTGGCCAATGCAAAAACGTGAATGGCTCTGTCTATAGTCTGTGTTTGGTCTGTCTGTTCTGGGCTTCTGTAGAAACATGGTGGTACAACATGGCAGACTCAGTGGAGGAGGACCAGCTCCCTATGTAGATATAAACAGCTCATTCTAAGGCAATGAAAACATGCTGGTTCTTATTGTGAAGAGTATTTAAAATTAAAAAACAGAAAACATACTGAATATAAATTATTTCAGTCTTGCCAATATATTCCCCTAAATCCTACACACTGGACCTTTAATACCATGGTACTAATATGACATATACAGCAAATAATTAAAGTACTTTTTAGTTTGAGGTTGTTTTTTAAGAACAAGTAAAATCAAGTCATTCCTCATCTCACTCCTACTCTATGAGTAAGTAACAAGGGTGTTTTGATTTATGGGACTAAATGGTGATTGTTTTGTTGTGTTAAAGGAAATACTTCAAGCTGCTGTGTTATGTTGAACAAAGTGTTTTCTCACTCCCATCCTGTTCCGCCAGCGTGTGCGACAGTGTGTGTGTGGTGGTGTACGAGCAGCACATAGGGCCCGACTTCCCCTGGAGCTGTTTCTCTTTGGTGGTGGAGTACAACCATCCAGGCCAGTCACCGTGGGCCACCATCTGCCTAGAGAGGAGTATAAATCATCTCACCTTCAACACCATCATCACTCACACTGGTCAGCTGCCACCAAATACACATTACTCACACAGTTGTTCAGTTATGTGTTGTTTGAATTTTTTTTTTCTGTTAATGTGTTTTTCTCAAAAGAGGAGGAAAAAGCTCTGTGGTGCCTGGAGGACAATGTTCCATATGTGTTGTTTGTGACAGAGGGACTTCTCAACTGTCCACTGCTGTTACAGACACTTGAGTCAGGGTAACTTTTTTCCCCCCACTCATCCAGTCAGTCATATTAAATGATATCCAGCTAGTAACAATGATACATACCTGAAGTTCCATTACACTGCCACATTGAGACAATACTAATTAGACATGATATTACCAAAAATCAATAGTCTGATAATTTTACGATTCATAAAATGGTTTAGTATTTTTTTACTTACATCATTAGTCCATGGCAACCACAAACCTGCACCATAATCTACATTTTATATGATCCACTGGAAGATTATGCTCTCAGAGGTTGAAATACCACATGCATCTTCACAGTAGTGCATGTAAAATTTGAGCTGTACATGCAATTCTTAGCTCTACATGCAGTGGGGCATGTAACTTGGTACAACTGGCAAGTTTCACACATTAACTGTAGACTCATGCAATTGACACTTCACAGTCAATTTACTGTCTCAACTTTAGTGGTTATACAACTCTATCTCTATTATCATTTCTCATCATATCATTTAAAGAATACATCTCTCCAACACTATTTTTACAGCAGACTTTTGAAAATTTGTGTTTCTACCATATTTGCCAGTGATAAGTTATCATTTAAATACCATATTGTGTGTTGTTTTAAAGGTTTAATATAACTGTGCTGGAGAGGAGCCACCGTCCATCCCTGCAGATGCTTGGAGGGACCGATCACTACGCTGTGATCACAGTGGACGAAAGCACCGCTATCCTCATTCAGGTACAAGGGGCAGAGATACATACTGCATCCTTCAGTGCACGCACGCACACACACACCCAATAATCCATTATGATGCTGAATTTTTTCCTTGTTTTATCTCCCTCTACTGAGCTTATTGGGTATTGCATGAAAATGCTGAAAAACAAAATTTCCATCTTGAAAGCAACAACTAATACTTTAATTCTTCAACTGTGTGTGTGTGTGTGTGTGTGTGTAGGAGGAGGATGAGCTGTGTCAGGAGCGAGCCAGTGAGAGAGTAGTGATGAGGCTGACTGCTCTCTCACTGCAATATAACTGCTGCTGGCTCATCCTGCACTGCAGAGACAGCCAGGGAGGAGGGTCAGTGTCCACACACATACATATGTAAATACAGTACACACACATGCATCTTGTACACAGAAGCTCACCGTCACTGCTTCTGTCCGTTGCTGTGTTGGCAGATTTACCAGCGAAGCTTTCAGCAACTTGGTGTTGATTTATTCGTCTCTGGTGCTGTTCGGCATGAAGTCAGAGGATCTAGACGTCAAGGCAGAAAACAAACATGATTTATTTTTCTGCCCTCAACTCAATATGTTCTTTCAACTAAATGTCCTTGCTGTCAAAAAATCTCAGTCTGAAAAGTTCACCACATCATTTAAATACAAATAGTTGTCTTCAACCAAGACTTGAATTGCTCTAAACTCCACATCTTATTCTTCTATAATATAACAACAATACAAACCACTTATTCTTGGCTTGTGTTTTTCAGGTGCTGATTGTGTCTGAGGTGATGGAAATAGCCAAATGGATCAGCCAGATCTGCTTCCACAGCCTGATGGCCAGTGAGAAGGATCCTCTCAGCTACCTGGACAGAGATTGGCTGACTGTGATTCCCTCAGAGGTGATCTGTACACAAGTTACACAGATTTGTCTGGTTCTTCTTTGGTTTCATGAGCTACTTGAGCCTAACTCATGCAGTCTACTTAAAGTGTAAAATGCCTGAAGAAAGGCCTCTGCTGTGGCTCCAATTTGAGCTTTGAATTCTTATTATTTATAGGTATTATTACTTAACACATATACCTTGCAACTCAACACCATAGATGGCTTTCATTTTTTTCCTCCCGCCCAAAACTCTTCTAATAAGAGCTTGTGTGCTGCTGTTGTTTCCTGTCCCTCTAGGAGGAAAAGTGTCTGCTGAAGTTCCCTTGCATTAACCCCCTGGTAGGTCAGCGCATGCTGAGGAGAGCACCATCCATCCAGTGGCTTCTGGGGGCCTCTCTGTCTCAGCTGACGGAGCAGCTCCCTGAGGTGCCACATAAAGTCCTCAAGGTGATCTCAGATATATCACTACTTTTACAGCCGAAATACCTGTGACATGGATGCAGTCGATCAAAATAGTCAAAATTATTTTTCTTTCAGTCAACTGAACGATTGATCAGCTAATTGTTGCAGCTCTGCTAAAAATAGCAATGCGTTTTTGCATTTCCCAAGTTTTATCAAAGTGTTATCACATAAAAAAAACCTAAGTGGCTTAAAGGGATAGTGCACCCAAAAATGAAAATTCAGCCATTATCTACTCAGCCATATGCCGATGGAGGCCCTGGCGAAGTTTTAGAGTCCTCACATCTCTTGCGGAGATCGGCGGGGGGAGCGGCTAGCACACCTAATGGCAGACAGCGACCCAGACTAACATCCAAGAACACAAAATTGAATCCACAAAGTATCTCCATACTGCTCATGCGTAGTGATCTAAGTGTGCTGCAGCCCCGACATAAAAAGTTGTTTCGAAAAATGTCATCTGAACTCTGTTTTTAGCCTCACTGTAGCCTGTAGCTCTGACTGCTTCTCTGTGCTCCGCGTTCACGTGTGCGCGCTTGCGCGAGACCAGCAAAAGCATGAGCTTTGCTCACCCGTGTTTACATCACGTGACACGTGCACTGCAGGGAGAGACAACGGTAACCACAGTAGCTAAAGGACAATTTGCACTATGGTCTTTTAGCAAAGGACAGCCCAACATGTCTGAAGACTTTGAAATTGAGGAGGAACAGCATTTCTTTGTTGAGCCGTATTTGTTTGAGCCCGAGTATACGGACGGAACTGGACGAAGCAGCCACCGCAGCTCATGAGCCTCAGCCAGCTGCAGAATACCGGAGTCGAGCACTGGAAACCTGGTGGTGTTGTTGCCAACGGATGAGGAAAGTCTTTGCTGCTCAGACTGGGAATTGGCGATGCCTGCACTTGAGAATCTGGACATCAGTACTGACGAGACTGCTGCTCTTCAGAGGACGTGCATCACCGATCACCCTGAGTGCGCACACGCGGAGCACAGAGAAGCAGTCAGAGCTACAGGCTACAGTGAGGCTAAAAACAGAGTTCATATGACGTTTTTCGAGACAGCTTTTTATGTCGGGGCTGCAGCACACTTGGATCACTACGGATGAGCAGTATGGAGATACTTTGTGGATTCAATTTTGTGTTCTTAGACGTTAGTCTGGGGCGCCGTCTGCCATTAGGTGTGCTAGCCACTCCCCCCGCTGATCTCTGCAAGGGATGTGAGGACTCTAAAACTTCACCAGGGCCTCCATCGGCATATGGGTGAGTAGATAATGGCTGAATTTTAATTTTTGGGTGCACTATCTCTTCAAGGAATATTGAATCTTTTTCAGTGACATTTCAGTACTTAATAGCCCCTCTTCTCTTTCTGTTTTTAGCTGTTCAGTGACACCACATCCCTGTACACACTGACCACAGACCAGCCAGAGTCTCAGACCATCATCACTGAGACACACCAACAAACCAGTCACCCAAACAGCCCCTGGGTCACCTGGGACCCCGAGCACTTGAACTCACAACCAAAACTGTTCATCAGCCCTCATCCTGAACTATTCCGTGGTGACCAAAACACCAGCTTCCTGTTTGGAGCTGACTGCAGCTTTTGTGAACCAGACCCAGACTCAATGGTGCAGGAGGGCAACACAGATTTCAGACTCGACCTGAGTTCTTCCTTCGGCAGCCCAGAGGTTCACCTCCAGAGGAGCTGCAGTGATCCATGGAAAGAGGAGGACAGAGGCACAGGGGAGGTGAAGTTTTCTGGCTGGGGCGGCAGAGCTGGAGCAGCAGGGAGAGTTGTTGGAAGAGTAAACGATGAGTGGACACCGAGGGCTACAAACAAACAAACACACTCGTACATGCCTGGAGTCCTACTCAACAGTCCTTTCAAGCTGGACTCAACATTCAGTTACAGCCCGATTCTGCAGCAGCCAACCAACAGTCAAATGTCCACATACGCTACAGTCTACAGCGACCTCCAGCATCCAGACAGCCACCATGTTTCCCACGATCTGAGCGCCCATACAGAGGTCATGCTGTGGGGTCAAGGTCAAAGCAGCAACAACAGTCTCACCAACAGTGGAGAGACAACAAAGGTTTCAGCCATCTATGGATCCAAATGCTGGATCGGACAAGAGAGGAAGAGGAGGGGCGAGGCTGCAGGTTTGGTGGCAACAGGTGAGTGATAGTGGCTATAATCAGGTTTCAATCACCCTGTTTTTAAATAAATGCAACAAAGTGGTGTGGGAAGAGACTAAAAATAGCACATAATATAAACATAAATGCCACATTTGCATCATGTTTTCCACCACCTGAGGTTTAACCAGCACACTTAACTTAAATCATCTTGTCTTCACCCTCTTTTTCTGCAGTTGTTTAATAGCCACAGCAGTTTCACAGTGAGTCATCTCCTAATATTAGCATAACAGTAGTGGATGGAAACAAAAAATAGGCCCCAATCAGACAGAGCATGTATTGCAGGTTGCAAAATCAGAGGTCGCTTTTGTTGAAGCCTGACCTGATCAAACAGAGCACTTTTTGCAGCTTGCTGCGTCTTTTTTTTTTTACCTAATTACAGAATCACCAGTCCATAGCTTATCTGCTATTTTGCTGTGACATAAACTCACAGATCTGTACCTTAAAGGTCCTGTGTAAAAGATTTAGTGGCATCTAGTAGTGAGATTGCAGAACTGAAACTTCTCCTGAGTGCCAGGCGTGTAGAAGAACTACAGTGGCTGACATAAAAACGCAAAAACACAAATGACTCTATCTAGAGCCACTGTTTGGTTTGTCTATTTTGGACTACTGTAGAAACAACATGGCAGACTCCGTGGAAGAGAACTTGCTTCATATGTAGATATAGCAGCTCGTTCTAAGGTAAAGAAAGCACGATTCTTAGTTCAAGGTGATGATAAAGTAATTTAAAATATTATGTTCTATTTTTGCCAATAGATGCCCCTAAATCCTAAACAATGGACATTTATGATCTGCCTAAAATATGGACAGGCAGAGGGCACTCGGGCAGAGATCTATGTGGATACATGAGACCCTCATAAGGAGGAGAAATTACAGAGTACCAATGTCTGGTCCGCGAGTTTTACCTGGATGAATGCCAGTTTAAGGCTTATTTTAAGACGAGTCAAGGACAGTGTGACGATCCTCTGCCAATCCATTGGGCCTAATTGTGGTTAGTAAAAGATTAGAACGTATATGAGGCTACAGTTTTCTCAAAAATATCTTGCGGCTTGCGTAGGGCGACAATGGAAGTGAGCTAACGTTAGCTTAACTACCACTTGTCATCACCGCCAGACGAGGCCTGATTTTCAATACATCTAATTGAACAATGGATAACAATAATAACCGCTTTTCTGCTCTGAGTTTAAGTTGTCAACTTGAGGCGTTTGAGTTTTCCTTGAAAAAACACAAAGCTCATGAGCTGTAAAACAGAAGGCACTTAGCACAAACACAGCGAGCAAAACACTTCACTCTCATTGGAAACAATTTAAAAACACTCTGAGGCCTTAAATTGCAATTTTCTTTTGCCTTTTTTTTTTTTAAAACTTTTTCACTACATTTGGATGAAACATGTCTTATGTCTGTTTTTGATTCTATCTTCTTTTTTTTAACTTTAATGGTAGTAAACAGATTTTTTTGTGTTGATGTTGCAGTGTTGATGCCACTGAAGAGGGGGAGATTAAGCTATGAGAAGGTGCCCGGCAGAACTGATGGACAGACGAGGCTGAAATTATTTTAGGCATGAGTGGTTTGTTCCTGTGGCTTGTTTGTAAAGACAAGAATGATTTGTTGAGTTAAAGTTATTTATTGCATAATTCAACTTCTGCTTCTGAATTTTTATCCTGATGAATTGATGTATGTTTGCCATGTTAATCTGCTAAAAGGTTTCTATTTTAAGTTAATTTTTTTTAGATAAAATGTCAACAGTGCTCTTGTTCATTCCTGTTTTTTTGCTGTTAAAAAAAAAGCAGGAACATGAATTAAATTATTTATAAAACACTAATTTACTATCAGTTTATTTTGTAAAATATAGTGTTACAGTATAGTATGACTTGTTTTAAGATTTTAACTTTGTACTGATTCATTTACTGATTCATTTATTAAATTAAAATTACAACACTTGTTAAATATTTTACTTATTATTTTAGTGTTCTGCACCTTGTAACTCCTCCTGCAAAGCATTCATAACTGGATGCTGGTTTATAAACAGATAATTAATGCCGATTTGTTATCTTAGAGAATGTGTTTTTAGGTAAGATTGTAATTGTTGAAAACAAGGCACATTAACACCTTACAACTACATTATAGTGCATTTTAATAATTTGTTTATATAATGCTTCTACATAATAAATAAAGGGGTCGTTACAGATTATTTTTTTTTTATAAAATAAGAAATAAGGATTACAACTGTGTGCTCATTTTGCTTTTGTTTTGATTTTTCCTCCGCACTGAGCATGCTCAGTAGAGAAAAACAAATTGTGATTTATGGAATGGGATTGAGGGTCTTTCCCAGCTACACTGATAAAGCCTCTCATTTTAGCAGCTCCAATGGTGGGGCCATTTCTTTTTTTTTTTTTTCTTTTTTCATTTAGTGAAGCAATCCCCTTATCATCGTCTCTCAGCATGTGGAGAGAGTGCTTATCTTCACGAGCCAGCAGAGTGAAGCCAGCTCCCTCAGGAATGATCCCCAGACAAAGACAACCCCGGGGGACACCGACTCCAAGCCTCCCTGCCTCCGGACGGCCATATCCAGCACTGGCTGGTCACCATCAATAACCTGCCAGCTTTTTTTTTTTTTAAAAAAACATCTCTCTCGCTGTATGTGTGTGTCTTCGTGGCCTCTGCCTTCTAACAAGCAGCAGGCAAACAAAGAGACAGACTAAATGTTTTGTTTTTTAATGGCACAGCAACAAAAGCTGTGGGGGAGGACGGTCAAAGGAGTCCCCATATGAAGGCTCGGTAAATAGCAGCAGTAATGGTGCAGTAATTGCCCCCGACTATACTTACAGCCCTGGACTGAATGGGACAGGGGACACATTGTGGGAATTAACAGGCTGTTTGAACCGAAGCCATCCTTTAGATTTGGATCCCACTCTGACTGCAGCTGTAAAGGTCACACCGCTGTTATCTGTTAATCACAGGCAGCAGTTAACTGTGTCACCTGTGTGTTTCCGCTCCTCTGTAAATAAAACACACAGCCTCAGCGGGGGGCGGGGGGGGGGTCCTGTGACTAAGGTGCACATGTGTTTGTTAACACCTGAAGTGATTCAAGATAAGACAAAGGACATTTCCCTGGAGGAAATCAATATCAGCAGAAGCAACACAATAACCAACACTGCAACATGATAATAAGATGAGCTAATGAAAGATGAGGCACCGTGCATCATCATCAGGACAAACAGCATTAAGTAGATAAAAAATACAACAAAAAGTGATAAAGTGCCCAGTTTATCCTTCCTATAGACAGTGTACGGACACACAGAAAGCAGAATTGCAGCTCAATTATACCATGGGTTCATTGTCAGGCCTGTCACAAAAATTACTTTAGGTGAGCAACTAAGAAATAAGAAATAATTGTGGTTATTTTAAGACTGTTTTATGCCACTAATAAAACCATTATATAATGGCACAAGACTGCAAGTACATGCTTTTTAAAGAGCAATGAACTTTCAATTTTTAAGACTATTTATACGTTCGAATTGAAATAGATGAAAAAAACTAAAATATCCTGAACAAATAAATGTGTGTGTGTGTGTGTGTGTGTGTGTGTGTGTGTGTGTGTGTGTGTGTGTCTGTGTGTGTGTCTGTGTGGAGGAGTTGAGCACTACCCCCAGTGAACGTGACAGAGCAGACAAGAGGGCAGCCAAACATGTCTCAACCTACTTTTCTTTTTCAGCACAGGCACTTTAAAAAAAACTGCGCTTAAGTCTTAGAATCGTAGGGAAAACCGTACTGCTTATTCTGACATGTTGGCTTAAATGTTGGTGACATTCTTCCATAAACAAATACATATAAACAAGTGAAATATTATACAATATATGACCTTGATAATTTATGCGGACTTCGAAATATCGATTGTAAATATCATGACAGGCATATTCATCGTATTTATTTACTTTAAAAAACAATATGAAGTCATGGTATTTTGACCTACTACAAGTCTTATGAATAAATCTGCTGGCAGAATGTAATTTAATTAACTGTTTGGTTTACAATCAATGTCACTGCATCTTGCAAGCAAGAAAGGGCAACTCTAAACAAGGGCACACCAAACTGACATCAAAGAACTGGTGTGGACAAAGTCCAACTGTTGCATTGCCTCACGTCACCTCGCCCAAAAAAGTTGCACATGAACACACTACAAAGACTACAACCAACAGCCAACTACGACATACATTCAGCGCCTGCATGAGAGGAAATAATTCTCCCTGTCAGCAGGAAGTAGTAGTCTGTATTAGTCATAAAAAAGGAAAACTGTAGACAGACAGGACAGATTCAAAACACCAGTTAGCCAGTTAATAACACAAACAATTATGAACCGTTTCTGCTAAAGAGCTTAGTGGTTGACAAAACAACATCTCACCTAATCTAACACATTTTTTTCGATCTCAATCCTTTTTGACTCAATGTGTCTGTTCACATTCCTTGCTTTTGATTGTCTTATCATGGAGTGAGCTAAACTACCAGTCAGAGTGATTTCACTCATCTATGGGCTCCGCTGTCTCTGATGCCGATTCAACTTGCTGAATCAGCCAAAAAAAAAAAAAAAAAAAAAGCCAACAAGGGCCGAGGAAGGCCAACAGTGTGAGACACAGCGCAGAATCTAGGGCAACAGACACTCACTGACGGCCAACTGTCTGCTTGGTGTGTGAGGGCCTTTAAGAGTGACCAGCACTGGGGCACTAAAACCATATTTATTTTATTTATCTAACTAAGGGTACCAACTTTTTACTTCTTTAAGAAACAACAGTGGCACGTGAAGGGAAAAACAGGCACATGTTCACTCTTTTGCTCCCATATATCAACTCCAAAGCACACATAGTTTACAACAGTCAGCAGAGAATCACATGGAGTTTGACGACCAACTCAACCTACTCTGAAGCTGCATTACCAATTCTGTGCTCAAGAATGTTCTGTACATATCAGCACACAATACAGCAGTAACTTCTGTTATTCAAGGTCCTCACTGCGAGACTTGTCCTCATGAGAATGGCTTTATGAGTCATCTCATTTTGTCTCTCACAGGGTGCTCACATATCAAAATGCTGCTCTTAATTCAACATGATTAACAAGTGGCTACACAGCCTGTCATTCTGCCTTCAGCCCAAACCTGAATTATGGATAAATTACAACATATCAGGTATAATCTTCACCTGGCCTTGTTGGCGTAATGAAAGTTACCACACTGACATTGACCATAGCCTACAGTGAGTGTGTCTGCAGACCCTCAGCCTGCAGTGGAGGCTGGATGGATCCAGAGAGCGGCGGCGCCTGGCCTGCAGGTGCAGCCTCTTGGACGTGCAGCAGGGCCCATGAATGGCCGATTCAGAAAACGGCCCCCATCAGGCCTGTTCTCCAGGCCCAGGGCTAATCCCAGCCCCTAATCGGATTATGTAAATTCCTACTCCACACAGAGACTTTTATGGAAGGCTGCGTCTTTGAAACAACACTTGAAGGGTGTAAAAGGAACAGTGACAATTGGTTAAACTAGACTTGTTTTTTTTTTTATCTGAAGGGAGGTTGAAAGTGGGAGGCAGAGGAGGGGGGAGAGAGAGGAGTGAGGAGTGGTTGGAGAGAGGTGAGTCAGGACGCTGTAATTTATGTGTGGCCCCATGGAATGGCTCAACAAGATTACCATAGTCATAACAAAACCTGTATTGTTCAACTGTCAATCTGGATATGGTATTTTTACCTTTTGTGGCCCAATCAGGCTGAATTCAATAGCGGAGTGGGCAGCGATATCAAGGTCTTTACCGCGGTGCAGGGGATGGTGGGTTGTCCATGCCTAATGTCAGAGAAACAGAAAGGAACAAGTGTCCACAGCAGTAAGAGAAGGATCAGAGAGATGAACGTCTCAGTTTCACTTCAATAGAAATGTATTTGTCACCTTTAGTGCGAACCTTCAAGGATTAAACCAGCAATGAATCATAAAAGCAGCACAAATAGTCACTTAAAAGGCTGTTGGGGAAAAAAAAGACCCAGAATCCCTTCAAATGTTACACAGAGACACCTCTGGAAATCATTTAACGTGATGATTTATGGACAATGTAATCATAAAGCCACCTCCATTGGTTCTAAATGATAGAAGGGGAGGGGGTGTTTTAACAATCACCCCTCAGTTAACACCAACCTCACACACAATGCCACAGAGGCTCCACGACAGCACACGTCACACAATAGGGTTCACCCTGCTATAAAATGTGGGATGCGAGCATGCAGCAGTCTTACCCCATCCCTCCCTCCCACCCTCATACTCTCTCTTTTACTCTCTCCTTCCCTTTCGCTCACAAGGATCTCTCAGCGAGCATGAGAAGACACTGAGAGGACATTCACACCGGACTCCTGGACACTGATGACCTGCAGAGGACGACTCTGCAACTGACATTTCTGCACATTTCGACACACATACAGGTGAGATGTTTATGGTATATTGAAGGATTTTTTCCGCCTTTAGGCCATGTGTGTCCACACATAAATAATTAATCGACAAGAGGGTTTATCGCAAAAAGATAATGTGTACTCTTTGCTTGAAGCTTAAGGTAAATAAATCATGTGCATTTATGCCAGACTTTGCCTTAAGATAAAATGATCTGTTCATAATGATAATTTCAGAGTGTTTTTTGTTGTCACAGAACAGCCTTATGTAAACATTCAGTTTAGCACCATATAACCATTTAATAAATGGTTAAATTTAAATCGAATACATTTTACGGCAGCAAACATTTTGGAGCTACCAAACCATTCAATTCCTGAGTGGACTTAAAACTATTTACAAAATCTGAGCCTGGTTTGAACTGTAGTGTGTTCACACTGGAAAAAAATGATGATGTGTAGGAGGTATATACAGTAAGGGGCATGCTCACAGTGAGTACACATAGTAATACATTTAGTAATACACCTGCTTTTGTCTAAGGACACAATTGTTCCACAATGCAATGCACAAAGGAAATGGAGGAGTGGCTGGAAAATAAATAAATTGTGATAAAACCCAGAAACACCTAGGAAATCAAAACATAACTATTTAATTCCTGGAAAGACATTATGGTAAGAAAATTATTATTCTTACAATAAGTGAAAGTGCAAATAAGTGTTTCAAAATGTGCTGAATTTGTCAACAGTTAAATACCCTCCTATGAAAACATATTTTATATTATTACACCTGTATTTTACTATATTGGCATTCATTATCTGTCTTTACACCAGCCTCCACTTGGTGGTGTCCACAGGAGGAATTTAAGTTGTATCTGTTTACAGCTACATTATAGTGAGGTTTCAAACCATCCGTTAAAAGTTGATAAACTGCTGATATACTCTAGGGGGGGTTAAAGTGTTACTGATGTCTATATTTAAAGTGAATACCTGGTGCGAGTCAAGCAGCCTCTTGAATATGGAGGAATATCAAGAGTTGTATTTTGCAGAAAAAAGTAACAAACTACAAAATAATTCTGTAAAATGTTTTCATAGGATTTTATGAATGATTTCTATCAATATGGGCCCCCTAATTTAATAAGGGGGCCCATTTCCCTCCTAACATACCCTGATCCTAACCCTTTTGATTAATCAATGTCTATAAAATGTACAGCCAGAGGAGTACCAAAGAGTACAAAACCCATATTTACTTAATTATCATACCAGACAAAGACAAGCATGGATTATTCACGTCAAAGAAGCTGGAACTTTCACGTTTACTTAATGCAGTTGTCAAAAATAGTTGCTGAATAATTTTCTGTCAATTGACTAATCAATAACTCTACTGATCATTGCAGCTCTACTCAGCACCATGACCAGGAAGGTGTTCACCAACACGAGGGAGCGCTGGCGCCAGCACAACGTCAACACTGCCTTCGCCGAGCTCCGCAAGCTCATCCCCACCCACCCTCCAGAGAAGAAGCTGAGCAAGAACGAGATCCTGCGTCTGGCCATGCGCTACATCAACTTCCTGGTGCAGCTGCTGGAGAGCCAGAGCGGTCAGCCGGCCAGCCACTCCCCCACCGCACTGCTCACCTTTCTCAGAGGGAATATGGAGCAGCTGCACTCCCCTCCACACCCCTGGGCTATGACCAGCGACACAGAAGTCCCGTCACCTGGATCCAGCTGCGACAGCTCCGAGGCCTGGTAGAAGCACAAAAAAATAAACTCTTGAGTGGACCTTCTGACCCTTTCACTGGGTTTAAAAACTGATCTAGTCCTTCCTCAAGACTCTTTTGTCTCTGCATTTCACACCCTGTGTGTGACTCGTTTCAGTGCAGGAGATGCAATATTGTGTGATAATTGTGGACTCCAAACATGGTTAAAAATGTGGGCACAGCCTCCACGCTGATCAGTGTTGAAATATAATTTGCAGGTGAAAATTAATTTGTATTCTGCATGGATGTGTAAAAACCTGGATGTACAATATTCCCCTCATGTCTTCATATTAATATTCCTTGTTGCCGGCCCGCCTGGAACTAATTTAGTTTTGCAGTGACGGGGTGTTTTGCCGATGAGGAAAATGGAGGGGATTAAGGAATTTCTCATTTCAAGCAATAGATCAGCATTTAAATAGATAATGGCTCAGCCAATTCTCCAGACTGCAGTCGTTTCAAAATAGCCAAGGGCACTTTTTCTTCATCTTCTTTTTTTCTTTTTCATCGACATGCTGTTTTTTTTTTCCTCAAGAAGACAAAATCTGGCCTTTATTTTCACTTACCAAGGTTACCTGACTTCAGAAGAATCAGTTCTGTGAAACACTTTTCCTGTTTCTCACCCTTTTACACAACAATGTTCAGTATTTGTCGATTACAGATTTGTGGTATTTAGGACTGGGCTGAGGAATTTCGGCAAAACTGACAATCCTCTTTCAGTAATTACATTTAAATGTGTTTTTATTTGAGTTTTTGTAAAATACGCATGTCATATAGCCAAAGATTATGAATTGATTGTCTACTGTGAAGAGTGTGCTAATTATCTTCTGATACCTCTTTTTGTAAGTTATTTTGGTGTGCTTGTGAATATACAGTATGTTATTTATTTGAACTATTTATTTAATAAATGATTTGTTAATAAAACACCTTCTGAATCTTTTTAATCAAAGAAGTCGCTCAAATCAATCGTATGTTTTGCAGGAAACACTTAAGCGCTACCAAACATTGAATTTCTGAGTGGACTCCAAGATCTTCACTATATCTAAGTGTGTTCGCACTGAAAGAATGACAAAAGAAAGTATATTCCAGTCTGTATGCACATCAATTCAAATGATTTTTCAGTGTTGAAGGACACAAATGTCTCACAATGCATTGCACAAAGAAAATAGAGGAGAAGCTGCAAAGAAATATATATAAATTGTGATATAACAGCCCAGAAACACCTAAGAAAGCAAAAAATTACGATTAAATCCTTGGATAAACATTGTCAGTCACAGCTAAATAAAATGCATCTGCACAAATGCTGTATCATTTCCATATAGTATAACACAATTTAGTATATTAATTGTTTTGTATACCAACTAGAAAAATAACATTTACTGAGACAAGAAGTATAAACTGTATATAAAATAGTATGTGGTGTGACATTAGAGCACACTGTTCTCTCTACTCTAATGAAATTATTTCACACTTTGTGAGACACATCTGACCATAAGTTAAGAGTGGAGCCGCTACGTCTTTGTTCATGCTCAATAAGCCCAGAAACATTTGTCCACAAGTCCTATGATGACCATGTGGACACAAAGCTGACCTCTGCTCTCTGTCCACTGACCAGAGGTCTGTGAGAAGAGCCCTGAAAGTGACAGCTTAACTTATGACCCTGGGGTGGGAGGTCACTCTGCAGTCAAACACTGTCCAGTTGACCAACGTGCAGATGGAGCTTTCTCTTGAGGTAAACGTCACTTTGTTGCAACGTGCAGTATTTGACAGCACTGATGTCATAACCATCAACTATAAAGGCAGGGATTTCTTAACAGAAATTACAGAAGCCACCAACTCATTCATTTTGGATTTAATCGTCCATGTAAACCCTTTAATTCAATGTATTAATGAACAAAATTTTACTTAGATTAGATTGATGTTTTTGATGGGAAACACCATCAAACTATCAAAAAACAGCATATGAAAATCAACTACAGCTCCACTTAGGGCTGCAATTGAATATCATTTTCATTACTGATTAGATTATCATTTTTTTTCAATTAATCGATTAATTGTCAAGTCTATAAAATCTCAGAAAATAGTGAAAAAGGCTCATTATAATTTCCAAGTCTTCCCATGACTTGTTCTATTAGACCAACAGTCCAAAACAAAAAAAGATTCAGTTTACAATAACGTGAAACAGAGAAAAGCAGCATCCTCACACTGGTGAAGCTCCTACCGAAAAAAACATTTGTAATTTTTGCGTATTAATTACTAAGGCATTTTATCAACTATCAAAATAGATTTCTGTCAATCAACAAACTGATTAATGGATTATGTGTTTCAGCTCTAGTTCCGATACCAGCAGTTTTGTTTGCACCCGTCTTCTTGTTTGTCATTTAAACTGAGGTCAGACATTTACATGCCTAATCGTCTATTGTGACTGCAGAATATGTGCCCCATTTTCAGGGGAAAAGGCTGCAACTAACTGAGCTGAAGAGTAAACACTGAGTAGGTTTCAGACGCTTTCACTCTGGCTGTTAAACTCTGGCTAATGGTGTGTAAACGGAGCAGAGGGCAGCTGGACACACTGACTGGAGGCCTGTGGGAACTGACAGGTGACTCTTTGTAATCCTGCAAAAATACTAAATAAATCATATTGTACTGGGAGAGTGAGAAACAACTGTACAGCGGCAGCCTGCCTCTCCCACAGCATGAATTTGGGAAGTATTTACCTCTTGTGCAATTTCACAGTGAATTGAGCAATTTCATGGTGAAGTGAAATAACACCAAATAAAACTGCTGTGGTTATTAATAGCTGGAGTTTCTGGTATTATGAGATGCAATATTAAAAAACAGTATTTCTTTGTATGTTTGCTGTTATGGCGTAATTCAGACTCCCTAATATTTAATTATTCAGTCATCATTTGAAACTGGATAGGAAGTCGTGTGACAGCTTTTGCACACATGCTGTCAGGCTGTGAAATGCATTTTGCTGATACACCTTATTTACAGAAAACGCCCAATCACAGTGTGAGCATTACTCTGACCTCAACTTTCTAGCAGGATTATGAAACCCTGCATTGAAAATAATAACAAATCTGTACGCTTCTCATTCCCTCCACCAAGTATATTTGCCTGATTGACTATTCTCTCCCAAGTATGAGGGTAATCGTCTATTGAGAGCACATTTCCTTATCAGCGTCTAGCACACTGTCTGAATCTGTTATCACAATGGGCCAGATCAGTGCAGGCAGCCCCTCACTCTCCCGGCTGAGGCGCCCATGAAAAAGAATTTCTGGAGTTGGGTGCCAACCGATAGGCCCTGAGCTCTTTATCCCCTTAAAGCCAATTCACACTCTGCATGTTTAAATATCTCAGCTCAACCCCTGCCCTTCCACTCCCGTCATGCACTCAAACCCCCTCCTCCTTCTTCCCTTTCCTCTTGCTCTCTCTCTCACCCCTCCACGGCTGCAAGTCCAAGCGTGGACTGCTGCCGCGGCAGACCTGCAGCCCGGACGGGTGGGTGGGATGCAGGTGCAGGCTGGTTGGAGGGTGAGAGAGGAGGGGAGTCATCCATTGTTGGGCTGGACAGCACCCTCTCTCCTCTGGAGCACACTCTGATGGGGGAGCCCACTGACAATCACGCATCCTAATCTGATTATGCAAATATCTACTTCAAAAAGCAATACGCTGTAACCCTTACCCTGTGGTGGAAAGACAGAGCAAGGAAGGAGGACAGAAGGAGAGGAAGCAGCAGGAATGTGCAGAGGGATGGGTAGATGGTTGAATTCCCAAGAAAAAAAATGAAGGGCAAAATGCACATTCAGACTCAATGATTCTACAATTGTACCAGACACCCTGATATACCTATCATTAGCTTCACTTCCACGTCCTCTGTACCACCAGGGGAGGTCTGAGGACAAAACAGTGCACACTTACACACTCTGAATGGCCACTGACTCCCTCAACAGGGCATTGAATTCAATATTCAAATGCTTATTGTTTTTCCAGACGCTCCTGAATCCAGCCTCAAAAGGAATCTACAATGTTAATGAGGGGCCAAAGTACCCAGAGTGAAGATTTAAACGCCCAAACAGTCCAAGGTGACATTTCCCAAGAACAACACAGCCTCAACACCACTGATTCATAAAGGCATGGTCGACAACCCCCGCCTACTAAATTTTCACACCAAGCTGACCCCTCTGGCCCCAGGCGGTTGCTCAAATCAGCTGCCTCATTCTACAGCTAGATACATCTCTGAAACAAGACAACAGTCTACTGCCATGCTGACGGCTCTGTGAGGCAGTATTCTGAGCTAAATGCTAACATGCTCACAATGACACTGTTAAAGCAGGGGTAGGCAGCTTAGTCTGGGCATCACTGCACAAAAATCCTATGATAAACTTTAAACACATTGTAATTACAGTGGACTGAGAGAACAGTGGACTTCTGCACCAGGACAGGAGACTTTGACAAACCACTGGTTATTTCAGGGAGAGGGCGTTCCATTGGCTTTTTTACAAATGCAGATGCATGAGCATGTCCCTTCGATAAAAGCCTTAATTCACTGGCAGAGAATCTTACAGAGAAAGTTGCTACTTCAGCATTGGCAACAACTGCCTACACTGCAAAGCAACCCAAAAAAGGAAGACGGACTTATAAAAGAGTCTGAAATAAACAAGATAAATCACATGTCAATACTGGTGAAACGCTTAGAGATGGAGAGAAAATGTTGCTAATTGTTAGCCTTTTGCAAACTGGACCAAAAGGCTTATGGCGCATATTCAAGCTCATGTTTATGTTGCTAAAGTTAGCAAGAGCCTCAAAGTCAGCTGCCACAGCAACCTGAATCCAGCCAGTGCAAACCACAGCTCTGGGTAACCGTACAGTCCCAACTCTCTGCCGGAAGAGCAACTGTCTGTTGCTTCTGTTACACAGGTTAGACATGGAGCTACCGCTGGCCACCAGCCTGCTATGCGTGCTCGAGTTCAAGCTGCTACAGCTACCAACTGAACATTGGTCTCTGGAGCTGCTGCCCACTCTCCCCCAAGTGAAGCAGTCCGTAGAGGCAGGGAACAAGGCGGAGAGGCCATGGGGTGGCTGGGTAATTCTTATGTAGTTTGTGGTCTGATAAAGACAGATTTTCAGAGTGAATGCACTACGTGCAACTCTATAGTGAAATGATAAATAAATCAATGTATGGGGAACAGTGGGTTACTGTATGAAGTGTGTGCAAATACCCGTGGTCATCTGTTAGGAGGGGCCAAGCACAGAGAGGGAAAAGGGCAGAATTATTGTAGGTTTTGTTGCCTTTTCCAGACTTCTGCCTATTCCAGCTTTAACATGCTGATGAATAACAGGTGTAATGTTCATGTTCAACATGTCAGCATGCTAACATTTGATAATTAGCATGAAACAAAGCTACAGCTGAGGCTGATGGGAATGTCATTAGTTCATCAGGTATTTGGTCATGATCCAAAGTGCTGGACAAACTGAAAATTTGACCTGATGATAGGCTCACCAAACTCATTACAATTCATCCTCAAAAGGACATGAAAGTGTCCACACATCAAATTCTTGTAGACACAATCCTTACTCACCAATAATCCTAAAATCACAATAATGATACATTTCCCCTCTCACAAAAACCAACACATTCTTGGTCACACTCATACTCCTACACTCACAAAATCATGATCCACCTGTGTTAACTCACTCTGTCTCTCCACCACTAACAACTAGAATCCAGTTTTATCAACTTTCTTTTGTGGATTTAGAGACTACTTTAGGGTTTTTTATATTTACTGGTAACTTTACCTTTTCCCTCTGACGACTTGCTTGGGGTGGGTCTGTTATATAATATGCCATGCAGCACAGAGGGGAACTACGAGCCAGAGTTCAGCTTTGTTTAGTTAATTATTATTTTTCTAGGAGCGGCTTTTGAAAAGGATCCGGCCACAGCAAGCTGATAAACAGGCACCATGAAGCTGGGGCAGCGTCTCTCTGTTTGTGTCCTGCTGCTACTTTGTGTGACACAGAGCGCAGATGGAGGGAACATTTTGGTGTGGTACACTGAAGGCAGCCACTGGATTAACATGAAACCTGTGCTGGAGTCGCTGATTGACAGGGGACACAAAGTGACGGTTCTGGTCCCGAGCACGTCAATGTTCATGAACACCAGTGAGCCTTCCCGCTTTGGCTACGAACCCTTCAACGTCTCTGTCTCAAAGGAGACAATGGAGGACTTTATGAAAGAATTCTTTCACTTCTCCATGTATGAAATGGATCATATGAGTTACTTGCAGATTTACATCAGATTCATTGAGCTGATGAAGGACAATCTGCAGAACTCTTTGAAGTTTTTGGATGGCGTGGTAAAATCAGAGACCATCATGAAGAAGCTGAAGGAGGGAAAATATGACCTTCTCCTGGCTGACCCCGTCTTCCCTGGCAGTGACTTAGTAGCAGATATTTTGGGCGTCCCCCTGGTCTTCTCCCTGCGGTTTTCCATAGGCAATACATGGGAGAGACATTGTGGTCAGTTACCCGCTCCTCCTTCCTTTGTTCCGGGCACTATGAGCAAACTGACTGACAAGATGGACTTCCGAGACAGAGTGTGGAACTTCCTCTTCTACACACTGCAGGACGCTGTGGTCGATAACTTTTTTTTTAAAGAAGTAGATAAATATTACTCCGAAATCAAAGGTGAGCAAAAACTGTGTGTAACAACTGTTTTTTATGGATCGCATGGTCACAGGTCTAACGATGATTGGATTAATTGCAATTGTTTTTTTTTTTTTTATCAAAACAATCATCAACAGTTTTATGTTTTAAGAAAATAAATGTACTGCTAGCAGCCCTTACTTTTGCATTGTGACAGGAAAACCCACCAGTGCCTGTGAGATGATGGGTAGAGCAGACATCTGGTTGATGCGAACCTACTGGGACTTTGATTTTCCTCGTCCTTCTCTCCCTAACTTCAAATTTGTTGGTGGGATCCACTGCAGACCTGCTAAACCTTTACCAGAGGTAACGCTGTCTCCACTATAACACACCTATTAATGTTTTATTAAATCTCCGAAGTAATCCTGACTTAAACGAACATTACCCACAAAATCACCATTAGTATTTCTGTAACTGACCTTGTGTTAAGTTAAATCCAAAAACAGTAAAAATTCTAAATGACCTAAAGTAAAAGGAGTCAGGGTTAAAAAAGGCAAGGTTTTAGTGAAAATGCATGTGTTTGGGAAATTCTGAGCAGACACCTGGGAAAATAAGACGTGGTTTATTCTGCAAGAGCTATGTGAGAGTTTGTAAACTGATGTTTTGAAATAGTTTTGCTGTTGTTAAATGCAGTCCCCCTTTAATTCAAGTCATCAATAATGTTCACCATTTTTGGATTCTTCATTTATCTTTGAGGCATGTGAGAAAGACAAAGTTTTCTTCACAAATTCAATATAACATTGGGTGAGTTACAGACATACTAATGGTGATTTTGTGGGTGAAGTATTCCTTTAAACTAGGGAGGAGAATTAGACAATAAAATGCTGAGGAAAGAAAAGAAAATGCTGGTTGGCTTGCGTTGAGGTAACGTTACTCTTCTTGCAGGATATGGAAGAGTTTGTGCAGAGTTCTGGAGATGCTGGAATCGTGGTCTTCACTTTGGGATCACTGATCAAAAACATCACCACAGAGAAGGGAAACATGATCGCCTCAGCCCTTGCTCAGATCCCACAAAAGGTCAGTGGACAATCTCTATGTGCCACATGGAATTAACCTGAATGATGCCGAGTTAGACCTACACAAGGCGGCAGGTCAAGTTCAGCTCAGTCCAGCTACAAAGTGTGGGCTGGTGGCTGGAGAGGTTCCAGTTAAACTCCTGGGCACTACCAAGGTGCCCCTCGCTGAAGCAACCTTCACGATGATAAGCATTCAATAAAACCAGCAAGTTAATCAGCTTATGATGAGGCTGGACTTCAGCAACTCATGATTTGCAATAAATGATAATAAAGTTATAGTGGCATGGCATTTTTTTCTGGTTAAAATATATACCACGGGTGGGCAACCTTTGGTTTCAGAGCCACATGCAGCTCTTCAGCCCATCTCCAGTGGCTCCCTGTTTCTTTGACACAAAATTATATGGAAATGAAGAAATGTACAGCCTGTGCAACAAACAATTTCTTTGTTTTACATTTCATCAACTAAAATGTGCATCATATGCATTATGGTATAGAATTAGCACTGTGTGGGTCTGAAAGTGTTTTTACTATTGTTTGTAGGTGCTGTGGAGATACAGTGGAGAAAAACCAGAGACTCTGGGTGCCAACACCAGAATATACGACTGGATCCCTCAGAATGACCTACTGGGCAAGTAAAGCTTTTATAAAAGCCTTCGACAGTAATTCTTATGACTTTTACATTTAATAGGGTATCGCTAATATGACTATTTAGTTTGACAGTACAAAATCCCAAAGGGGCAGATAAAACATAGTGAGAATACTTTGATGAACTTTGTTGATTGGCAAGAAAGAGAACGTCATTTCAGGTGGTGATATTCATCCAGTGAAAAGTTAACTATGCAAACAGGTCCACACAATAAAGCTGCGTCCCAATTCTATTCTACAAGGGTTTCACACACATTCATTTATTTGTGGAGGTGACCACCATGATATCATGATTTTCCTCCATCAATTGATGTTCTATTTTTGGAGCTGGACCGTTAATTCAATGTGCTGTTAGTATATATCATTCCCCGTAAAACCCACAGTGCAGAGTGTACTCTGGGCTCAGTAAATGTGAAACTTAACAATTTATTAATTCATATAGAAACAGAATGCTCGATTTCTTAGTACAACAGCGCTCTCACTTAAGTGTTGTCCATCCTTTTTTCCAAACTACTAGTGATGTACCGGGCTGCACTCCCATGAAAACAGCGCAATCCAGCAATGGGTCAAAATGTTTACCTTTACTTTTACATTATACAGAAGTGATAAGATGTGCTTTAACAGCCTGTTCTGGTTGGAAAAGTAATGGAGATTTCATGATTTTTGGTAACCTATCAGGTCACCCCAAGACCAGAGCTTTCATCACCCACGGTGGCACAAATGGGATTTATGAGGCCATCTACCACGGTGTTCCCATGGTGGGTATCCCCATGTTTGCTGACCAGCCAGACAACATGGTCCACATGAAGGCTAAGGGAGCTGCAATTATTGCAGACTTGAACTTCATCAAGACAGAAGACCTGAGAGATGCTATCAATACTGTCATCAATGACAAATCGTAAGTTATTATACCTATCTGCACTTAGTCTATTTAAGAGTATTAATGAAAAATTACTGCATTTCTGGAGACTTCACATTAATAATACAGAAGCAAGATTGACAACATGCTATAAAGGAGGCATGGTGGAATGCAGTGTGACTCTGTTTAATTACCAACACAGAGTTTCAAGGTCACAAAGAAATTACTAAACCACTGGATGGCCATTTCTCCTCATGTATTGGTTCCCTCCTTTTGATATTTAGGTATTAAAATAACAAAAACTAAAGAATTAAACTTTTTGTATCACCATTCTTGGTAAAGCAAAGACACTAAATTATGAAAATAAAAATACATAACACATTAATGCACATTTTCACCTGTATATTCACATTCATAGGTACAAGGAAAATGTCATGCAGCTGTCCAGCATCCATCATGACAGACCAATGAGTCCTCTGGATGAGGCAGTATTCTGGATCGAGTACACCATGAGAAACAAAGGGGCCGAGCACCTGAGGGTTCAGGCCCATGAGCTCACCTGGTACCAGTATCACTGCTTGGATGTCCTGGCCTTCTTCTTCGTCATTGCTCTGCTCCTCATATTTCTTGTCATCAAGACCTGCAGTTTCTGCCTCCAGAGGTGCTGTGGCAGAAAGGAAAAGAGAAAGAGAAAGGCTGAGTAACTGACTGAACTGAAATGAAGCTGGTAAAAAAAAACGATGGATAAAAAAACAGTCCGCTAGTTCTCCTGTTGGTCTAAATCATGTGATGTAACCACAGTGCCCTGGACTGTAATTTGTGGCATGGGACCAGAAACTGTCACAACTTTGAAATAAATAATTTGGGTAACAATACTGAAAACACATTCAAAAAATCTCTCTACAGTGTCCAGTATGACTGTGAAACTCCAAATGATGTAACATGTTTTGTACTACTTGTTTCACTTGCTTTGTCACCGTGAACTCAGATTAAGTCAACCTGTAAACTGAAGTAAAAACACTGTTCGACTCTCCATGGACAACACCATGAATTTGCATCTCAACATACTGTAGGTGGACACTCTTCTCGTTTGTTCCAGCATCAATTGCAGACAAGTGTGATCTAATTTCCATTATGTCAGTTACCCAAAGTTACATTTTCTTCTTTAAAAAACACATTAGTTTTACTTTTACGTGAGAATAAATTTCTGTGGTCATATATCACCATTTTTAATCGTGGATTCTGACATAACTTCCACAACTTAGTTGGAGTTTAGTTGGGGTTTGGTGCTCAGCATGAAGAAAATTATAGAAAAGGCGATTACTATTTCACAATTCAAGGAGTAGACCCCAGGACAGCTCGTATCTGACAGAGGTCTGGAGACGATAAACATGGACCCATCCAGGCTGAGGGAATCATGGACATGCAGCTGGTGAAGACAGGACAAAACATAAAACCAAAGCAATTAGACATGTTCCCACTGGTAAGAAGTTATGGAATAATCTCTCTTTATGTCTTTTCCTACCTGGAACACCTGACATCCAGGTGCTCCCATGTTAAAAGTTTAAAAATATAGACAATGATCTGATGGTGTAAGCTGTAAAGTAAACACTTTGGATGTTTTTAAAGCATAAAACATTGGTGTACTCACCTTTCCATGAAACACCTTTTCCATTGTTGTTTTTACACTCCTCCTTACAGGTGTTTGCCAGTTTGTGTCACAGAGTTTGGGGCTCTACATTGATGACAGATCCTTTTGAGGGCTTTAACCATCAGAACAGAAAAATCAAATCATAAGAGTGAAATGTGCTGAGAGAAGAAAGCCTCATTGCAAGTACAGCACAGGTCAACTGTGCCCTCTAGTGATCTTATATGAGAACAGATCAAATTGTCTTTTAATGGAGTATGACGTTCACACTTATGCTCTCTAGTTCCTTTCTTACTGTCAGCAAAAAAAAAACCCAAAAAACAGCACAAGCAGCATTATATGTCTGTTAGCTGTGAAGAGATAAAGTTAAACTAAAATCTGGGGAGCTAAAGTTTGTTTTTACTTTCCATGGATTTCTAGTACAGCATAGAAATTATTCTTGTTTTGTAATACTGTAAGACTGTCAACTTTAGAGCTGTTACCTTTTACCTCTAGCCATTTGCTTGGGGTGGGTCTGTTATCTAATGTGCAATGCAGCACAAAGAGGACCTACAAGCCAGAGTTCAGCTTTGTTTGTTAATAATTATTTTTCCAGAGGTACATTTTAAAGGTGATCTGGCCAACGTCCACTTTGACAAACAGGCACCATGAAGCTGGGGCAGCGTCTCTCGGTTTGTGTCCTGCTGCTACTTTGTGTGACACAGAGCGCAGATGGAGGGAACATTTTGGTGTGGTACACTGAAGGCAGCCACTGGATTAACATGAAGCCTGTGCTGGAGTCGCTGATTGACAGGGGACACCAGGTGACGGTTCTGGTCCCAAGCACATCAATGTTCATGAATACAAGTGAGCCTTCTCGTTTTGGCTATGAACCCTTCAATATCTCTGTCTCAATGGAGACCATGATGGAGTTTTTTGAAGAGTACCTTCACTTCTCCATGTATGAGATTGATCATATGAGCTACTTGCAGATGTACATCAAATACATGGATATGATGACGGTTGACCTGCAGTATTCTTTGAAGTTTTTGGATGGCGTGGTAAAATCAGAAACCATCATGAAAAAGCTGAAGGAGGGAAAATATGACCTTCTCCTGGCTGACCCCATCTATCCCGGCAGTGACTTAGTAGCAGATATTTTGGGCATCCCCCTGGTCTTCTCCCTTCGGTTTTCCCTAGCCCATAACTGGGAGAGACATTGTGGTCAGCTACCCAGTCCTCCGTCCTTTGTCCCTGGTGCTATGAGCAAACTGACTGACAAGATGGACTTCCGAGACAGAGTGTGGAACTTCCTCTTCTACGCACTGCAGGACGTTGTGATCGATCATGTTTCTTGGAAAGGATTAGATAAATATTACTCTGAAATCAGAGGTGAGCTACAACTGTGTGTAACAACTGTTTTTTTATGGATCACATAAAGTCCAATGATGACTGGATAAATCACAATGTTTATCTATCAACACACTTAACACTTTATTGTTTAAAAAAATAATAATAATAATAATTATCTGACGTTTTTGTTATACTTTTCAATGTACTGCTAGCAGCCATTACTTTTGCATCGTGACAGGAAAACCCACCAGTGCCTGTGAGATGATGGGTAGAGCAGACATCTGGTTGATGCGAACCTACTGGGACTTTGATTTCCCTCGTCCTTCTCTCCCTAACTTCAAATTCGTTGGTGGGATCCACTGCAGACCTGCTAAACCTTTACCAGAGGTAACGCTGTCTCCACTATTACACACCTATTAATGTTTTATTTAACCTCCGAAGTAATCCTGACTGAAAGGAAAATCACCCACAAAATCACCATTAGTATTTCTGTAACTCACCCCATGTTGAGTTTAATTCAATACGAAAACTTTGTTTTACTTATGTGCCTCCACGGTGAATGAAGAATCCAAAAACAGTAAACATTCTTGATGTCTGTTGCTTTTGTTAAATGCAGTCCCCCTTTGTTTTAATTCATCAAGAATGTTGGCTGTTTTTAGATTCTTCATTTATCTTTGAGGCATGTGAAAAAGACAAGGCTTTCTTAGCAAATTCAATATAACATTGGGTGAGTTACAGACATACTAATGGTGATTTTGTGGGTGAAGTATTCCTTTAAACTAGGGAGGAGAATTAGACAATAAAATGCTGAGGAAAGAAAAGAAAATGCTGGTTGGCTTGCGTTGAGGTAACGTTACTCTTCTTGCAGGATATGGAAGAGTTTGTGCAGAGTTCTGGAGATGCTGGTATCGTGGTCTTCACTTTGGGGTCATTCATCAAGAACATCACCACAGAGAAGGGAAAAATGATCGCCTCAGCCCTCGCTCAGTTACCACAAAAGGTCAGAGGACAATCTCTATGTGCCACATGGAATTAACGTGCCATACACAAGTTCTAGTGCTCGCAATACTACTGTGAAAATGGGTCGAAGCCCAGTTTAAGAGCATCCACGTCTGTCTGCATATTACATTGTTGTAAGAGTAGCGTAGCGTACTGTGTGCATAATGAGTGTGTGGTCTAGAGGAAAAGAAACGGTGGATGCGCAGTAGAGCTGCAGTCTGTGAAATTTCATTTGTGTGATTCTAACAAAACTGTTACTGACGGGAGATCAGTAAGATTCATGTTTATTTTTCAACAGCAATAAAATGATAGATAAAGTTGAAGATAAAGATAAGCAACTTTGGTCTAAAAAAAAAAAAATCTCAATTAGATCATTTTCCCATATCCTTAAGCCCTAATTAAATGTACTGCTATATGGTCTATGATAAAATAAAATTGGCACTGTGTGGGTCTGAAAGTGTTTTTACTATTGTTTGTAGGTGCTGTGGAGATACAGTGGAGAAAAACCAGCGACTCTGGGTGCCAACACCAGACTATACGACTGGATTCCCCAGAATGACCTACTGGGCAAGTAAAGCTTTTATAAAAGCCTTCGACAGTAATTCTTATGACTTTTACATTTATTGGGGTATCCACCACATTTATTTCACTATTCAGTTTGACAGTACAAAATCCCAAAGGGGCATACAGTAGGAGATAAAACATAGCAAGAATACTTTGATGAACTTTGTTGTCTGGCAAGAAAGAGAATGTCATTTCAGATGGTGATATTCATCCAGTAAAAAGTTAACTATGCAAACAGGTCCACACAACAAAGCTGTGTCTCAATTCCATACTACAAGGGTTTCACACACATTCATCTATCTATTTGTGGTTTTGATCAACTGATCAAGATGTGTATATATAGATGTGTATATATATATATATATATATACACACACACACACAAGAATCAAGAAGACGTGGTCACAATGACCTTGACCTCTGATCACCAAAATCTAACCAGTTGATCACTGAAGTGGTTGTTTGAAGAAATTCCTTCAAGGCATTCACGAGGATGGGACGAACTGTCGGACAGACAACTGGAAAACACAAAGCCTTCTGCCGCAGCTATCACCGGCACAGAAGCATGAAAAGTTAACTTACCTAATTGTTTTGGACAAACAGGAAATGATACAATGCTTGTAGTGTCAGATGTCACTCAAACTGCAACTTTGTGATGTCATTGTCAACTTCACACAGAACGATGGTTTTCCAAAAATGTTATTATTTCCTGTTTTACTACAGCATGCCTAAAACTGTTTGACCAACATCCACAATTAGCTTTTTCAGGCTGTGTGCATTTCCTTCATTTATATTGTACTTTACATTGTGTGACAATAGTGTCCATCAACAGCACACATAAAAATTAAGCGTTGTTTAGTTTACATTCTGACTGCTTTGAGTGTATATGTTTACTTCCCCTTTTAAAGTGTGCATACAGTACACACTTATTACCTGCTTAGATTTAGGAAATTGTACTGGGACACAGCTTAAGGCTGACTTGGACCAAAAAAAAAAAAAAAAAAAAAGTGTGGAAAAGGTGTGATAAAAGCAAAAATCCTTGAGGTGGGGGGCTGGGTGTATGATTGTCTCTTTCTGCTGTTTTTCCAAAGTCTCTATGGGATCTGATCTAGATAGCTTCCACTTACAAGCCTTTGCCAAAGTTCAGTATATGTTTACAGCAGTTACATAAAGTAGAGGTGATAAGATGTGCTTCAAGAGCCTGCTTTGATTGGAAAAATAATGTAGGTTTCATGATTTTTGGTAACCTATCAGGTCACCCCAAGACCAGAGCTTTTGTCACGCACGGTGGCACAAATGGGATTTATGAGGCCATCTACCACGGTGTTCCCATGGTGGGTATCCCCATGTTTGCTGACCAGCCAGACAACATGGTCCACATGAAGGCTAAGGGAGCTGCAATTATTGCAGACTTGAACTTCATCAAGACGGAAGACCTGAGAGATGCTATCAATACTGTCATCAATGACAAATCGTAAGTTATTTTACCTATCTGCACTTGGTCTGTTTTAGGGTATTATTGAAAAATTACTGCATTTCTGGAGACTTCACATTAATAATACAGATGCAAGATTGACAACATGCTATAAAGGAGGCATGGTGGAATGCAGTGTGACTCTGTTTAATTACCAACACAGAGTTTCAAGGTCACAAAGAAATTACTAAACCACTGGATGGCCATTTCTCCTCATGTATTGGTTCCCTCCTTTTGATATTTAGGTATTAAAATAACAAAAACTAAAGAATTAAACTTTTTGTATCACCATTCTTGGTAAAGCAAAGACACTAAATTATGAAAATAAAAATACATAACACATTAATGCACATTTCCACCTGTATATTAACATTCATAGGTACAAGGAAAATGTCATGCAGCTGTCCAGCATCCATCATGACAGACCAATGAGTCCTCTGGATGAGGCAGTATTCTGGATTGAGTACACCATGAGAAACAAAGGGGCCGAGCACCTGAGGGTTCAGGCCCATGAGCTCACCTGGTACCAGTATCACTGCTTGGATGTCCTGGCCTTCTTCTTCGTCATCGTTCTGCTCCTCATATTTCTTGTCATCAAGACCTGCAGTTTCTGCCTCCGGAGGTGCTGTGGCAGAAAGGAAAAGAGAAAGAGAAAGGCTGAGTAACTGACTGAACTGAAATGAAGCTGGTAAAAAAAAACGATGGATAAAAAAACAGTCCGCTAGTTCTCCTGTTGGTCTAAATCATGTGATGTAACCACAGTGCCCTGGACTGTAATTTGTGGCATGGGACCAGAAACTGTCACAACTTTGAAATAAATAATTTGGGTAACAATACTGAAAACACATTCAAAAAATCTCTCTACAGTGTCCAGTATGACTGTGAAACTCCAAATGATGTAACATGTTTTGTACTACTTGTTTCACTTGCTTTGTCACCGTGAACTCAGATTAAGTCAACCTGTAAACTGAAGTAAAAACACTGTTCGACTCTCCATGGACAACACCATGAATTTGCATCTCAACATACTGTAGGTGGACACTCTTCTCGTTTGTTCCAGCATCAATTGCAGACAAGTGTGATCTAATTTCCATTATGTCAGTTACCCAAAGTTACATTTTCTTCTTTAAAAAACACATTAGTTTTACTTTTACGTGAGAATAAATTTCTGTGGTCATATATCACCATTTTTAATCGTGGATTCTGACATAACTTCCACAACTTAGTTGGAGTTTAGTTGGGGTTTGGTGCTCAGCATGAAGAAAATTATAGAAAAGGCGATTACTATTTCACAATTCAAGGAGTAGACCCCAGGACAGCTCGTATCTGACAGAGGTCTGGAGACGATAAACATGGACCCATCCAGGCTGAGGGAATCATGGACATGCAGCTGGTGAAGACAGGACAAAACATAAAACCAAAGCAATTAGACATGTTCCCACTGGTAAGAAGTTATGGAATAATCTCTCTTTATGTCTTTTCCTACCTGGAACACCTGACATCCAGGTGCTCCCATGTTAAAAGTTTAAAAATATAGACAATGATCTGATGGTGTAAGCTGTAAAGTAAACACTTTGGATGTTTTTAAAGCATAAAACATTGGTGTACTCACCTTTCCATGAAACACCTTTTCCATTGTTGTTTTTACACTCCTCCTTACAGGTGTTTGCCAGTTTGTGTCACAGAGTTTGGGGCTCTACATCGATGACAGATCCTTTTGAGGGCTTTAACCATCAGAACAGAAAAATCAAATCATAAGAGTGAAATGTGCTGAGAGAAGAAAGCCTCATTGCAAGTACAGCACAGGTCAACTGTGCCCTCTAGTGATCTTATATGAGAACAGATCAAATTGTCTTTTAATGGAGTATGACGTTCACACTTATGCTCTCTAGTTCCTTTCTTACTGTCAGCAAAAAAAAAAAAAAAAAAAACAGCACAAGCAGCATTATATGTCTGTTAGCTGTGAAGAGATAAAGTTAAACTAAAATCTGGGGAGCTAAAGTTTGTTTTTACTTTCCATGGATTTCTAGTACAGCATAGAAATTATTCTTGTTTTGTAATACTGTAAGACTGTCAACTTTAGAGCCGTTACCTTTTACCTCTAGCCATTTGCTTGGGGTGGGTCTGTTATCTAATGTGCAATGCAGCACAAAGAGGACCTACAAGCCAGAGTTCAGCTTTGTTTGTTAATAATTATTTTTCCAGAGGTACATTTTAAAGGTAATCTGGCCAACGTCCACTTTGACAAACAGGCACCATGAAGCTGGGGCAGCGTCTCTCGGTTTGTGTCCTGCTGCTACTTTGTGTGACACAGAGCGCAGATGGAGGGAACATTTTGGTGTGGTACACTGAAGGCAGCCACTGGATTAACATGAAGCCTGTGCTGGAGTCGCTGATTGACAGGGGACACCAGGTGACGGTTCTGGTCCCAAGCACATCAATGTTCATGAATACAAGTGAGCCTTCTCGTTTTGGCTATGAACCCTTCAATATCTCTGTCTCAATGGAGACCATGATGGAGTTTTTTGAAGAGTACCTTCACTTCTCCATGTATGAGATTGATCATATGAGCTACTTGCAGATGTACATCAAATACATGGATATGATGACGGTTGACCTGCAGTATTCTTTGAAGTTTTTGGATGGCGTGGTAAAATCAGAAACCATCATGAAAAAGCTGAAGGAGGGAAAATATGACCTTCTCCTGGCTGACCCCATCTATCCCGGCAGTGACTTAGTAGCAGATATTTTGGGCATCCCCCTGGTCTTCTCCCTTCGGTTTTCCCTAGCCCATAACTGGGAGAGACATTGTGGTCAGCTACCCAGTCCTCCGTCCTTTGTCCCTGGTGCTATGAGCAAACTGACTGACAAGATGGACTTCCGAGACAGAGTGTGGAACTTCCTCTTCTACGCACTGCAGGACGTTGTGATCGATCATGTTTCTTGGAAAGGATTAGATAAATATTACTCTGAAATCAGAGGTGAGCTACAACTGTGTGTAACAACTGTTTTTTTATGGATCACATAAAGTCCAATGATGACTGGATAAATCACAATGTTTATCTATCAACACACTTAACACTTTATTGTTTAAAAAAATAATAATAATAATAATTATCTGACGTTTTTGTTATACTTTTCAATGTACTGCTAGCAGCCATTACTTTTGCATCGTGACAGGAAAACCCACCAGTGCCTGTGAGATGATGGGTAGAGCAGACATCTGGTTGATGCGAACCTACTGGGACTTTGATTTCCCTCGTCCTTCTCTCCCTAACTTCAAATTCGTTGGTGGGATCCACTGCAGACCTGCTAAACCTTTACCAGAGGTAACGCTGTCTCCACTATTACACACCTATTAATGTTTTATTTAACCTCCGAAGTAATCCTGACTGAAAGGAAAATCACCCACAAAATCACCATTAGTATTTCTGTAACTCACCCCATGTTGAGTTTAATTCAATACGAAAACTTTGTTTTACTTATGTGCCTCCACGGTGAATGAAGAATCCAAAAACAGTAAACATTCTTGATGTCTGTTGCTTTTGTTAAATGCAGTCCCCCTTTGTTTTAATTCATCAAGAATGTTGGCTGTTTTTAGATTCTTCATTTATCTTTGAGGCATGTGAAAAAGACAAGGCTTTCTTAGCAAATTCAATATAACATTGGGTGAGTTACAGACATACTAATGGTGATTTTGTGGGTGAAGTATTCCTTTAAACTAGGGAGGAGAATTAGACAATAAAATGCTGAGGAAAGAAAAGAAAATGCTGGTTGGCTTGCGTTGAGGTAACGTTACTCTTCTTGCAGGATATGGAAGAGTTTGTGCAGAGTTCTGGAGATGCTGGTATCGTGGTCTTCACTTTGGGGTCATTCATCAAGAACATCACCACAGAGAAGGGAAAAATGATCGCCTCAGCCCTCGCTCAGTTACCACAAAAGGTCAGAGGACAATCTCTATGTGCCACATGGAATTAACGTGCCATACACAAGTTCTAGTGCTCGCAATACTACTGTGAAAATGGGTCGAAGCCCAGTTTAAGAGCATCCACGTCTGTCTGCATATTACATTGTTGTAAGAGTAGCGTAGCGTACTGTGTGCATAATGAGTGTGTGGTCTAGAGGAAAAGAAACGGTGGATGCGCAGTAGAGCTGCAGTCTGTGAAATTTCATTTGTGTGATTCTAACAAAACTGTTACTGACGGGAGATCAGTAAGATTCATGTTTATTTTTCAACAGCAATAAAATGATAGATAAAGTTGAAGATAAAGATAAGCAACTTTGGTCTAAAAAAAAAAAAATCTCAATTAGATCATTTTCCCATATCCTTAAGCCCTAATTAAATGTACTGCTATATGGTCTATGATAAAATAAAATTGGCACTGTGTGGGTCTGAAAGTGTTTTTACTATTGTTTGTAGGTGCTGTGGAGATACAGTGGAGAAAAACCAGCGACTCTGGGTGCCAACACCAGACTATACGACTGGATTCCCCAGAATGACCTACTGGGCAAGTAAAGCTTTTATAAAAGCCTTCGACAGTAATTCTTATGACTTTTACATTTATTGGGGTATCCACCACATTTATTTCACTATTCAGTTTGACAGTACAAAATCCCAAAGGGGCATACAGTAGGAGATAAAACATAGCAAGAATACTTTGATGAACTTTGTTGTCTGGCAAGAAAGAGAATGTCATTTCAGATGGTGATATTCATCCAGTAAAAAGTTAACTATGCAAACAGGTCCACACAACAAAGCTGTGTCTCAATTCCATACTACAAGGGTTTCACACACATTCATCTATCTATTTGTGGTTTTGATCAACTGATCAAGATGTGTATATATAGATGTGTATATATATATATATATATATACACACACACACACAAGAATCAAGAAGACGTGGTCACAATGACCTTGACCTCTGATCACCAAAATCTAACCAGTTGATCACTGAAGTGGTTGTTTGAAGAAATTCCTTCAAGGCATTCACGAGGATGGGACGAACTGTCGGACAGACAACTGGAAAACACAAAGCCTTCTGCCGCAGCTATCACCGGCACAGAAGCATGAAAAGTTAACTTACCTAATTGTTTTGGACAAACAGGAAATGATACAATGCTTGTAGTGTCAGATGTCACTCAAACTGCAACTTTGTGATGTCATTGTCAACTTCACACAGAACGATGGTTTTCCAAAAATGTTATTATTTCCTGTTTTACTACAGCATGCCTAAAACTGTTTGACCAACATCCACAATTAGCTTTTTCAGGCTGTGTGCATTTCCTTCATTTATATTGTACTTTACATTGTGTGACAATAGTGTCCATCAACAGCACACATAAAAATTAAGCGTTGTTTAGTTTACATTCTGACTGCTTTGAGTGTATATGTTTACTTCCCCTTTTAAAGTGTGCATACAGTACACACTTATTACCTGCTTAGATTTAGGAAATTGTACTGGGACACAGCTTAAGGCTGACTTGGACCAAAAAAAAAAAAAAAAAAAAAGTGTGGAAAAGGTGTGATAAAAGCAAAAATCCTTGAGGTGGGGGGCTGGGTGTATGATTGTCTCTTTCTGCTGTTTTTCCAAAGTCTCTATGGGATCTGATCTAGATAGCTTCCACTTACAAGCCTTTGCCAAAGTTCAGTATATGTTTACAGCAGTTACATAAAGTAGAGGTGATAAGATGTGCTTCAAGAGCCTGCTTTGATTGGAAAAATAATGTAGGTTTCATGATTTTTGGTAACCTATCAGGTCACCCCAAGACCAGAGCTTTTGTCACGCACGGTGGCACAAATGGGATTTATGAGGCCATCTACCACGGTGTTCCCATGGTGGGTATCCCCATGTTTGCTGACCAGCCAGACAACATGGTCCACATGAAGGCTAAGGGAGCTGCAATTATTGCAGACTTGAACTTCATCAAGACGGAAGACCTGAGAGATGCTATCAATACTGTCATCAATGACAAATCGTAAGTTATTTTACCTATCTGCACTTGGTCTGTTTTAGGGTATTATTGAAAAATTACTGCATTTCTGGAGACTTCACATTAATAATACAGATGCAAGATTGACAACATGCTATAAAGGAGGCATGGTGGAATGCAGTGTGACTCTGTTTAATTACCAACACAGAGTTTCAAGGTCACAAAGAAATTACTAAACCACTGGATGGCCATTTCTCCTCATGTATTGGTTCCCTCCTTTTGATATTTAGGTATTAAAATAACAAAAACTAAAGAATTAAACTTTTTGTATCACCATTCTTGGTAAAGCAAAGACACTAAATTATGAAAATAAAAATACATAACACATTAATGCACATTTCCACCTGTATATTAACATTCATAGGTACAAGGAAAATGTCATGCAGCTGTCCAGCATCCATCATGACAGACCAATGAGTCCTCTGGATGAGGCAGTATTCTGGATTGAGTACACCATGAGAAACAAAGGGGCCGAGCACCTGAGGGTTCAGGCCCATGAGCTCACCTGGTACCAGTATCACTGCTTGGATGTCCTGGCCTTCTTCTTCGTCATAGATCTGCTCCTCATATTTCTTGTCATCAAGACCTGCAGTTTCTGCCTCCAGAGGTGCTGTGGCAGAAAGGAAAAGAGAAAGAGAAAGGCTGAGTAACTGACTGAACTGAAATGAAGCTGGTAAAAAAAAACGATGGATAAAAAAACAGTCCGCTAGTTCTCCTGTTGGTCTAAATC